ACCTCCACGGCCCCTACCGCGGCCCACGCCGCGATCTGTGCCGCGTCCACGGCCTCGGCCTCGGCCACGTCCGCGACCACGCTCAAACTCTCGAGTCTCTGACAGTCGGGGAGGTTTGGGAGGCAAGATACGCGGAACAGACGGTTCAGTTGCTAGTCCTGAAGCGGCCGATGCCATGGCAAAGTCATCAGAGTATGGATCGTCGTAGGGGAGCGGTGCAGTGCGTGAGGATCCCGCTCCCGGATCGTCGTATACCCCGTGTTCGTCGTAGGGATTCGAGCTATACATAGAGTCGCCGGACATCTCAGAGTCGCGCATTTGTGATGGTGTCGGTGCTGAGAAGCGCGAGGAAGAAGGTTCTTGTGAGGTTCTCCGTCTACAAGTAGGTAGAGGTTAGAGCATGTATCATATCATGCAATGAAACCTACTGTTGCTTCAGCCGCGCCTTATGCGCTGCCTCTTCCTCATCGTCCGAGAACTCCATCTCGTACTCGGCGACTTCTTCATCATGAACGTTACTCGCGTCACTGCCCTTGAGTTTGCGCAGTTCAAAGACATTGACGAAGCGACTTCGACGGGGGACATGGAAAACCGGGCGAGATACCTGGACCTTCTCCGCATCAAGGGGGTACTTCTCGCCGAAGCGGACTTGGTAGAAGGGTTGTAGGGTCGGACCAAACGTCTCATATACCTATATAGATGGCGTTAGCTCTGTGGCGCGTCGCGATGTAGTACGCGACTACTCACATATCCTAGGACCTTCCTGTCTTCGAACACGAGCAAAGTATCGGAGTCTAGTGCGATCTGCGCTTGGCCTGCTGCGCCACGTACAATCACAATGTTACTTGAAACACTCATGACGTCCCCGACGCGTTCCAATTGTTCAGACTCGCCAACCTCTTCAACGTCGGGAACATTGAAGTCGACCTCTGCAATCTCGTTTTTCGTACGGACAGCAGCGGCAGTAGTCGCGCCGCCTCCACCTTCTTCGTCGTCGTCGTCATCTGCCAGATCCATGATAGGTGGAGCGGCATTTCCTTTCCGCAAAGGGACATCATTCTCGTCGTCGTCCGACGAGTCTGACGAATCTGAGCTTTCTGAAACGCGATCCTCACTACATGTATTCAGGAGTGCGTATCGTGCGAAGTTTGGCAGACATACAGTTTGATACCGTCAGACTCTTCACCTTCTACGTCGAGTATGCCGGCCTCAACCTCGGCCTCGCTGTTCTCACCATCACTGTCCTCGCCGTCGCTCGAGCTCGCGATAGAATCAGACTCTTCGACTTTAGTCACTAGAAGTTCAGATTCGACAGGCTCGGGCTTCGGAATGCGCCCAACAAGGTCTTGTATGATCTGCAGGTCCTGAGGTAGTAACGAGGGGACTTTGAATGCGTCCGTGTCGTCCATAGCGGCGAGAAGAGAGTTCAAGGAAAGTCGCCACCTGCCAAGACGCGCTCCAACTTTTTCGACGCGGACACGGTCCCGTGAGGGCGCGTCTAGACGCGACTGACGCTGCCAGCGCGACTTGTTCGCCCGCACCATCACGACGACCACCATGCTCTCCGCGCTCAAATTCCAGTCGCCTCGCGCCTTCGATGTCGCACGACGCGGCTATGCTACTCCTTCCGCCGCCCAACTCGTCAAACAACTCCGTGAAACGATCGACGGCTTGTCAATATCCAAAGCCCGCGAAGCACTCGCCGCATCGAATAACGATATAAATGTTGCACTGGAGTGGCTCTCGAAGGACATGGCTCTGGCCGGCGCGAAGAAGGCCGCAAAGGCTGCCGGCGCAGGGCGCGCAACGAGTCAGGGTCTACTCGGACTTTCGGTCCTCTCGCGTGGCGCTGGTGTAGCGCAGGGAAGAGGCGGCGTCCGTGCTGCGCTTGTTGAGCTCAACTGCGAGACAGACTTCGTCGGGCGTAACGATCTATTTGGCGCATTACTGGCGGACGTGGCGCATACGGCCGCTTTCCTGGCCGAACCGGCCGCCGAAGGGCAGCATATAGCAAAATTGGACATCTCGGCTTTCGAGGGCGCGCCCTTGATCTCTGCTCGCGACCCTAGCGCAGCTAGCACCCTGGCCGTTGGAGACGCTATCAAGGAGACTATTGCAAAGACGGGCGAGCTCATTGTGCTTCGACGTGCAGCGGCCGTCGCACATGGGCCATTGAACCCTGGCCAGTCTCCGCTTGGCCTGCGCGTAGCTTCATATGCACACGGAGGTGCTACGCCCGCCACGGGACGCAGCGCGACGCTGGCCTTGCTCGCACTCAAGTCGGAGAAGTTACCATCACTACTTGGCAACGAGGCCTTCTTGCAAGACCTTGACCGCATCGAGCGTTCCCTCGCGCGTCAAATCGTCGGTTTCACAGCGGATAGCATTCAAGGCGCAGACGAAACGGCTCTGTACAGCCAGCCGTTTGGCATGCTCTCTGGAACACCCACAGACTTGCCTGTCGGGGAGTACTTGCGCAAGTGGGCGGCTGAGCAGGGTCTGGGATCGGGCGAGGATGAGGGCGTCAATGTGGTCGAGATGCTCAGGTGGCAGGTTGGTGGTCCGGAGTAGGTCGGGGTATGATACGGACATAGAGTTTGAAAGTATGCTAAACCTTGTATAATTGGGCAATACAGAGCCTACACGTCTACGCGTGCTACACACACCCAATTCACTACCTTTCCTCCCTGGTGTTGCTAATGATGCAGTGAAGACCGTCCGACAATCCTTCTCAGTGGAAGTAGACTCGCGATGAGTGTCGCCGCGTCCACCACCGGTAGTAGAGTGCACTCGGATCTTGCATGACCAAAGACGTATACGCGTATCAATGACAGCACAATCATGAGTCCATTTTGGGCCGCATACCCGGTTTCTCCCCGACATCCTTGTGCTTTCTCTACCTCCCCTGGATGATCGGGAGACCCACGCAATACACAGGCCCAACCTCATGTGGGCCGTCTTTGACCGACCCAGACCTGCGTGGAGCGAGTTGTGCGGTTGACAGTGCTCTAAGTGGTATAAGATTGCACGGGTATACATATACGGCCAGATTAGTACATGCACATGACTTGCACTCGCCGACTGACGCACTATGCTTACAGTTCAGCATTGTGTACAGAAAGTCTACAGAGATCACGGCCGGCCCTTCGGAGTGCACATATCGGAGGCATAGCGTACACATTGGCATACGAGCGTCTGCATGGGACCCATCACTGCACTTTCTCTGTCTGCGGTCTCGTGCGCCGGATCGTCGGGAGACCCGCCTGGTATTTCAACGCATACTTATGCGGGCTGTCTTTGACAGAGAGAGACCTGTGCAAAGTTAGACGTAGCGTCCATAGATCGGCGAGACCGCCTAGACGTACAGATCTGAGTGGACTGTCAGCTAAGAGCTGGTTCATGATAACGCAAAAGGACCCACAAGCGTTCCCTTGTAACATAAAGTACACGCCAGCGCCCTAAACGCAAATATTAACGGGAGCACAGTTAGGGCGGCGCCAGCCGTAATCATGTCTCACAGTGAAGAAGTGCCACCATGCATGCCCTATCCCATGGTCAGTTACCGTACTCCTTATGATAATGTGGTCCACGTAGCGCTTACCTTCAAGCAGGAAAGCCGCAGGCCACCCCATACTCTTCTTCCATCTTGTGATAGTATCGCAGAAGATATTGTCCAGATTCCAGATGAAGAACCCGGTCACGAACAGACCGACGCCCGCAAGAAAAAGTCGCGTCGTGCTCGTGTTCATAGATCGCGGTAAGGTTGATGCAGTGTGCGAGAGCTTCATGAGGTACGTAACACGTATCGTGCAGACAACTAGCCCTGCGCCGAAGACAATCTGATGGTATACTGGATTGCGGTGGACCGGATTACGATCATCCAGACTATGTCAGGTACAAAGTCAGGGAATTATTCACAAAGATCGTTGACCCGAGGAAGTCCGAAAGAACCCGAACGGGACTTACTAAGACCAGGTGAATAGTACGTTGAACAGCGTGATGCCAAAAACGAGCGCTTTACTCCGGAATCTGATCTTGAAGCCTGGGAGCGTGTCGCTGACAACGAAGACGGCCCAGCTTGTGGTGTAGATCATCGGTAGCTCGTCGGCCATCTGCGCCTCATACATGAGCGTTGCATGGAAGGCGATACTTCCGACCGCAACAAGCGCAAGACCCTGCATGCATTTAAGTATCAGTATACGCAACAGCGGACATATGAGAGAGCAGATGTACTGACGGCCCAACTTGTCAAGTATCGTGCAGGAAGACCCTCGCGCAGGATAGATCGTGCCCCATACAACGCGAAGCTTAATGTGAACAAGTTTGAGAACGTATTTGCGCTTTCCGCAATATGTCTTGAGAACTGGTAGTTTGCCTATCGAACAACCGAAGAAAGGAATGAAGACCGATAATCAGCTTCGCAATTCACTTTCAGCGTCCGAAATCACATTCCGGACGCTGACGATCAGCTCGAACAATTCCTCACCTCGCACCAATCGATCGTAGCGGTAACAGGACCCCAGAAACCCGTGGAGAGCGAGTCTGTAGAGTACATGGCACCTACGTACTACAGTATGGAGACAAGAAAGCAAGAGGCAAGTTGGACGACCTTAGAAAACCCAGCGAGATGGATGTGGACAAGTTCAGCTCTCGGGCTGTTGAGCTCGGGCTCCTGGGAAGCCGGATGCGGCCGTGCGCGCGGACATCTCCGCGCCACTCCTGCCCGGCGGCACGCACGGGCCGCAGCGTTGAGTAGCGGCGCCGAAGCGAGGGCGCCATACCTTGAACCTACTCTCAACACTATGCTTCGCGCCACAAGACAAGCAAGATCTGTACCATTGCTGGTGCGGGGAGCTGCGCGCAAGGCCGCACACAAATCAAACCCTTCCCCCGAGGCAGCGATACCGAAATCTGGGGAGGAGCCGGGAGCATCACGGACAACAACGACAGAGCAGGAGGACACGGGATGGACTCCTTCAGAGAGATGGGCCGTGCCGCCAAATGAAGTACGGAAACGGACAATGTGGGAGTCCTGGGCAGGTGCGTTCTCCATAACGTCGCGAGTGGCGCGACGAACATCCATAGCATGCTTGGTTCTGACGCACAAAACCCACAGCATTGCCGGCGAACCAGAGGCTCGCGATATCACTCGGAATATGTGCGTTTGCAGTGGCCGGGATGTACGCGACCGACTTGCTCGAGGAGAACTTGCCCGCGCCGGGTTCAGAATCACAACCGGGGCGGAAAGCTGGGTTAGGAGACTGAAGATGCACGGCCAGTCACGGGAAGTGAGCATATGCAGAACTATGGAGGCGTGAGGCCAAACGGGTTGGCGCAGGTGTGTTTTTGTCTGAAAGTCGATGCCGCCGTTTGTCTGACGTTCCGTTACTGCGCAGGTGCAACCCGCTGGGGTACTGGGTTTACCCCATTTTCGGGGTGCTTCCTGGGTATTCATATACATCACGTACTCCGAATATCATACACATCAAGTTTCAGGATACAGGCGCTGATATGGCATGACAAAACTAAGTGAGAGAGTCGGTGTGGGTATAGTCTGTCGTGAATGTCATCTCAGTCCAAAACGGGAGGGCGCGACGCTCAGATTACACCGCCGTACGCGTCCTCGTTCTTCTCCTTCTCGTCGGCAGCCCTTCCTGGTGCCTTGTAATCTTCCTGCTTTGGTGTCGCAAACGGGTCTTCGCCATGAGGATTGGGCAGCGCTTTCCCATCACTATCACTCCTCGCGCGATTCGCGGTTGACCGACTCCTTGTCAGGCCCGGTGCACCTATGCCTAAGCCAGCGGCGTTGACGCTAGGGTTATAGGACCAGTCGCGCGTAGGCATAGCAGGCGATCGCATGCGCGGCATGCGAGGCGGAGGCGGCGGTAATGGAGGACTGCCCACGACCTCTTCAGCAGCCACAAACGCCGCACGTCCACCCATGCCCGAACCAGTGCCTGCCATGTTATGCCCGATTGGAGGGGTATTGAACACGGGGAACCCGCCGCCGATCGCGCCTTTCAAGCTGTACCCCCAGCTCCCGCGCGTCCAGTCTGGCACAAGCTCCTCGCCGTCCTTGTCCTTCTTCGCACGGCGGCGGCGGCCACAGCACACATCAGCTGCTAGACGAGTCCAAGTGTCCCAGAACAGCGCCGCGAGGATGGCAATGCCCACAGCGGTCACGACGATGGAGGCAATCGCGGCGACATGCCAGTCGACACCCGGTTTATGGGTGGCTTGATCCCCTAGGAGAGTCGGCGTCGATGTTGCTGATGTAGATGATGTAGCCGGCGTCGGGGGCGGCGCAGCCGGCGGGGTGGTTGGCTCTGCTACGTGGGTAGGTTTGGCGGTAGTGTGTGCTGTCGTAGCCGTGTTCGTCGCGGTCGAAGATCCAGAACTTATTGCAGTGGTCGTATGTTGCTCCCCAGCAACTATCTTGCCCAATAAGCCTGCTTGTTCAGCTTTGGCCTCGGTTTCACCAGAGTGCTGCTCGCCAGGATGCTGCTGAAGGGGTTGTTCCTCGAGATGCTGTTCAGGTCGCTGTTGATGTGCGGCGGGCTGGGGCTGCGGGGCTGAAGGTGGTGCTTGTGCGGGAGGTTCGGACCCGCCTCCCAATAGGTCGCCGACGCCGCGCTTCGCAGTCTTTGGGACAGCTCGACCGGTACAGTGCACGGCGACGGCACAGAAGCCGAGAAGGAGTAGTACGATCCGCCGCAGAGTCGGCATGAGGGTATGTGGGGTAAGCGGACAGGCTACGCCGAGTCGAACCGTTGAACGGTACCTTCCTGGCAGTTGCGCGCCACCGGATGCGGGCGGCCCGCGTTACCGAACGCCTGCGACGCGCCGCTTGAACTCACGTGGTCGTGTTCGACTTTGCATTATCCCTCGCTCTTTTCTTCCGATGCGCCCAGCATGCAGTCTTGCAACTGGATGAGGGGTTCTCATGTAGCGATAGACGCACGTATGCAAAAGTCGTACGAGTCAGAACACGTACAAGGACATGAACTAGCAACGCGCCCGCGAACGTGCCGCGGGTTCGATCCGGATTTGGCTGCGCCCGTCACCGCAAGCAAGATCTCCGAAACGCAGAGTCCAAAGATGCGCGCTGTTCTATCCCCGCATCGCACCCTGAAAGCAGCGCGGGCGCCCAAACCGCTGTACATGTCGTAAATAGACGTGCTATACACATGGAGATGGAAGAAGGCACGGATTGTATTGGCCGGACCAGTGAAGCGTTGCCAAGTGAGATGGGTGTGGCGATGACGCAGTGCTCAAACGAACGGACTAAAACGATCTGCCAACGGGCCAGCGCATCCTCTCTCTACACACCTCTCCCTCGACCACCATGTCTCCCACCACGTCTAACCTGCGCGCTCGCTACGAGTCTGCCGGCCAGAGCCATGTCTTCACTTTCTGGGATCGGTTGAACGAGCAGGAACGGGCGACGCTCGAGGCGCAGCTTTCGGCGCTTGACATCGAGCGCGTCAACCGTGTGTTCGCGACGGCCGTCAAAGCCGAGAGCGACGCGAAGAGCGGGACGTGTAACGAGCCAATTGAGCCGCTGCCGGCCGATGCGAGTGGTAGCACGCTCGCGCAGTCGGACAAGGTTCCCGAATGGAATAAGGCCGGCGTAGACGCCGTCGCTGCAGGGCGTGTCGGTGTCCTGCTCATGGCCGGCGGTCAGGGCACCCGTCTCGGCAGCTCGGCACCAAAGGGCTGCTACGACATTGGCCTTCCCTCGCACAAGACGCTCTTCCAGTACCAAGCTGAACGCATCGCACGCTTGCAGGAGATAGCTGCCCAGGCGGCCGGCAAGCCCGAGGGCTCGATCACCGTACCCTGGTACATCATGACGTCCGGACCCACTCGTGCCGACACCGAGGCCTTCTTCAAGCAGAATAAATTCTTTGGCTTGAAGCCCGACAACGTCATCTTCTTCGAGCAGGGTAAACTGTGTTCTCGCCTTCAAGGGTTGTGGCCCCGATCTAATCCAACATACGTAGGCACTTTGCCATGCTTGACCATGGACGGCAAGGTCATCCTCGACTCGCCTTCGCACGTCGCCGTCGCACCGGATGGCAACGGTGGGCTGTACGCCGCCCTTCGTGCCCCTCTTGCACCTGGATCGAGCCGTACAGTCATTTCCGACCTCGAGTCGCGTGGCATCTCCTACGTGCACGCCTACTGTGTCGACAACTGTGTCGTCCGTGTCGCCGATCCAGTCTTCCTCGGCTACTGTATCGCCAAGCAAGCCGACTGTGCCGCCAAAGTCGTTCCCAAGGCGCACGCGTACGAGTCCGTGGGTGTCATTGCACGCCGTGGCGCCAAATTCTCCGTAGTGGAATACAGCGAAATCAGCAAGGAGCAGGCCGAAGCCAAGGATGCGCAGGGCGAGCTCGCCTTCCGCGCTGGCAACATCGCGAACCATTTCTACACGACAGATTTCCTCAAGCGTGTGCCGACGTTCGAGGAAAACCTCGCGTTCCACATCGCCCGCAAGAAAATTCCGCATGTGGAGTTATCCAGCGGCAAGCTCGTCAAGCCCTCGAGCCCGAACGGCATGAAGCTCGAGCTGTTCGTGTTCGACGTCTTCCCGTTCACTGAACGTTTTGCTGTGCTGGAGGTCGCACGCAAGGACGAGTTCAGCCCTTTGAAGAATGCACCGGGGACCGGCTCGGACGACCCCGACACCAGCAGGCGTGACCTGCTGGCGCAACACAAGCGATGGATCGAGGCCGCGGGCGCGAAGGTTAAGGAGGATGTCGAGGTGGAGATCAGCCCACTCGTGTCGTATGCGGGCGAGGGTTTGGAGGCGCTCAAGGGCAAGACCATCACGCGCTCCGGGATTGTGAACTCCATTGAGGAGTTTGACGCTCTCATGTGAAGGGTGCAATGGACTAGTTGGAATTGACAATCTTGTATCGGACGAACGGACTTATCATTCTTGGCTTTCTTGACCTGCGGACTATCAACTCAACTCATGGGATCGGTACAATAGTCATACCCGCGCTAGCGCATAGCATACTCACGTAGAAATCATATATTCACCGCCTAACTTCATAAGCATGAATCAGTCCGGCTTTTATGAGAGAAGGTGCAAGATGGATTGACAACAGATCGACGTGCGACAAAGCTAGATGGAGTACGGCTAGGACTGTACGGTGAATGACGTCTATTAGCCTGCAGCCGCCGGTGGGGGTGTAGGTGCCACCCCATTCACGTCCGCCGATCCTGTCGCTCCTCCCGGAGGACGCGCTGCAGCGGCAGCGGCAGCATTGCGCCGCTTCTCGAGCTCTTCTCCGAGGGTAGCGAAAAGCTTCTGAGTGCGCTCCGAGCCAGGCTGCAGACGAGCCTGTCAGTATGATTGAGTGATGCAGAGGCGAGTCAGAGAATGGTAAAGGACGCACTTCTTTGCAGCACGCGATTAATCGATCAACGAGCATCGTCTGACCAGTATGCGCGTCGTCGAGCTCGCGCCTGAGCTGTGCGTTCTCTTCCTCCAGAGCTTGAGCGCGTGCGTGATCTGTCTCTGCGAGCTACGCACATGCAGATAAGTCTCCGTTCCGGTATCAAAGAGCAAGAGCATACCTGGTGTTGTTCAGCCGCCCTCGCGCGGCTTAGAAGCACCTCGAGCTCCTTACTCCGCACAACGCACTCAAAGTGGCGTTCTCTCAACGCATACTGCCTTAGCACATCCTTCAATCTCTCTCTCACAACGCCATCAAACACTTCCTCGAGCGTCCGCGCAGCCTCGTCCCTTGCCATCCTCTCCGCCTTAGCACCATCCTCGTGGGCGCTGTAGTATGCAACAGGCCAGTGCTTAGCTAGGATCTCGCGCTGATTGTTCGAGGATGACAGGGGGTAAGGCTCGGCAGTGAGATCCAGGAGCTCGACGGCCAAGATCTCGTCTCCATCTTCTAACCCGGCCTCTTCAGCCGTAGACTCAGCATCGAGCGTACGTCCTGCATGCGAGAACAAGAACTGCGCCTGGTTCTTCGGCTCATCACCCTCGCCCTCGCCCTCAGTCTCGCCGTCTTTGGTCTTCCCAGCGGGCGAGTCGGACGATGTATCCATGCGCTCAGTCCACGCCCCGAATAAGCGTGCCAATTTGGTCTTGCGCGAGATCTTGAAGAAGAGCTCGGCGCGATAGCGGCAGACGACCTTCAAAACTACGTCGGGCGTGCTTCGCCATTTGGCGTCTTGGGCGCGGGCGCGCTCGATGCGTCGGGTGATATCCGTTTTAAGAGCCGATATCTGTAGAACGATGGACAGGAATGAGATATGTTGGAAGGCGCTGAGAGAAGGGACTAGGAAACGCACCTCACCCTGCGCCAGCTGCATGGAGTCGGCCATTCGTTTGCTGTCCTCCTAGTCAAGACGTCAGACAAGTAAAGCTACAGATGCCCGTGATGTACATACTCGTAGCTTCTTGTTCTCCTGTATAAGAAACGGTCAGATCTGGTACCAGTAGACATATGCGTAGAACATGCCTTTTGTAGCTCGCGTGCCAAGTTCTCCATCTTAGTCTTTCCTTGGTTCGCCTTGGACAACTGACTCTTCGCTATGAGAGTGATAAATGACGAGACCCGAGCAACAGGACAGGTGATCGAACACACCTGCATCCTTGTCCTTCGTCAATTTCTGCTTCTCCTTCTGGTGCTCGCGCTCTACACGCTTCATCTCTGCAAACTATAGCTCCCCATCAACAGGTTGCATTGTATGTCACCTTCACGCGACGCACGAGCTCGATGTATTTCGCATGCACCGCGCTATCCTCCAACCCCTTCACACTCTTCACCGCCTCCTCCGCTGCAATCCCATCATTTCAATTAATACGTATATTGCAATAATCTGAAGGAATAGACGCACCGAAAGCGCGCTCCTCCTCCTCCTCCTGCACCTCATGCTCCTCCAACGCCGCGATCCTGTTCCTCAGGCTCTCGTACATCGCTGCCGGGTCTGGCGGTGGAGGCGGCTCGGCCTTCTTCTTGCCCTTGCCGCCGGCTGTCCCATTCGTTCTGGCGGGCGGCGGGGCAGTAGAATTGGGATTAGAATTTGCCGACGGCTGAGGTGCCGGCGGCGCAGGTCCAGCTGGCGGTGGTTTCTGGGTGCGCGCCGTCTGAGTCTGCGTCGACGTCGTCATCGGCGCTTCTGGGGCGCGGGGCGGGGAAGAGTCTGTTCGCGCGATTTAATTGAAGAGTAGATGCAGTACAAGGGAGAGATTGGAGGCACGTTTCTGTCGAGATGGGAAGCAGCCCACGTCCGCACTTTATATGGGAGTATAACGTCGTGGTTGAGATCTGAACGTGAAGCAGGCGAAAGACACGCGACCGAGTCGAGGTCCACTTCCACAAAAGCCCGATTATATTCTGGCGCGGCCTTTGCGGTCGCTCACGATGCGCTTTTGTGCTCTCACTGGGCTATTATATCTTCCCATAACGGACAAAACAGGCAATGGAGAGTTCCAACCCCGAGGAGTGGGAGAAGAATCACCGCCGTCGGCCTGGCGTGTGGGTTACACACTCGGACCCATAAACGAACACAAGTGCGACGCGTGACGGCACGCGTCGTTGATCGCCTCGCGATCGAGCGCCCGAGGCAGGCGCGTCGGTTTGTCACGAACCACCATCTACCATGCGCTCAGACGACGGTACGCGTCTCACGTATTGCATATGACTCTGCGTACTTAATAAAATGCAGAAGCCGATACTCCACCGCGTAAGCGGCAACGCATGTCTTCTCCCACATACGACGAGCAGCTGCCTTTCCCCAGCCAGACGGAGCTCAACGCTCTCGACGGCTTCACGTACTCCCAACAACTTGCCGCAGCAGCCTTGAAAGGTAGTTCTCAACCTGATCACGCACCGGTGAGGTTGCATATAATCGCCTTTTTGACTCTTATCTGATGTGGTACAGAGCGAGCACGAATACGGCCCACCTCCATCGGCTGGATTCACGAACGCCGCCGCTCTACATCGTGGCGACTATGGCTCTCGAAGCGACGGAGATAATCCATTCATTGAGACTGGTGCCGGATTCACATCTGCCAGATCGTTCGCCGTCACCAGTAGCTTGCCCTCATCCGGCAGTTGTGACTCGCTATATTCTCCCACGAAGCCTGCAGTCGGGTTCTCCGCTGCATCTCGATTGCCACTCGCACGCTCTCCATCTCCCGATGCTCCTCCCGAACAAGACTTTTCTACTTGGTTCGCGCCATCCGAGTCTCATGCTGTCGGGTTTGCCACTGCTTCCGCTGCCGCTGCCGCATCCAGCGGTAAGGGGTCTACCGCACTCTTCACTACTGGCAAAGGACGCTCCCTCGTACCGTCTAAAGCTGCTCTACAAGCCGCTGAGGAGCGCATGAAGGCCTGGGACGAAGAAACGCCTGTGGCCTCCAGATCTTCCTCAGCCATCCCTGAGTTCGCACCAATGATTGGCTTTACCACAGCGAAAGGCAAAGCCGTCGCGCCGTCCTCCGCTGCACTCAAATCGGCCGAAACGCGCATGAAACAATGGGATAATGACACCGAGGAAGACCCTGAGAGTATCCCTGGACTTTCGTCGACAACATCAATCCCATCAAGCACGTCTGATCCATTTCGCCCTGTCCTCGCGCCTGTACATAATTCTCCCGGTCGATCGAAGGCGTCCGATTTGGCGAAGCATTCTGGCTTCTCATCCCCGATGCCAAAGTTGACTGCACCGTCCTTTGCAAGTGCCACTGCGCGACCAGGCGTGCAGACAGATCTCAGAGGCAAAGCTGTACAGCGGCCCTTCAGCTCGCCCCTTCTCGCTCGTGCAGCGCCAGCACAGAAGGGCACAGCTTTTGCTTCGCCGCTCAACCCTGGAGCTACGCGAGCCGGACCCACTGGGTTTTCAACACCCATTAAGGCCTTTCGTCCTCCTCTTGCTGCGCCGAGCGCAACGACAACCGCAATCGAAACACCTCTGCGTCGCGCGGCCGCGACGCTTGATACTCCCGGTCGTGTTGGAACACCATCGCGTGCTCTTGGTGCCACTCCTCTCCGGAGAGGCGCGGGCGCGGGTCCGAAGAAGTTCACGACGCCCTTCAAGCCCGGTATGGCGCCAGGTCAGCCAGGACGCGCGGTGCTCGTTGAGAAGCTGCGACAAGACCAGATCGCCTCTGCGTCCCAAGCACGGAGTTCTTCGGCGCCTGGCTCCCCCTCACCTATCGCATCTTCGTCGAGAGTGGCGAAGCAATCTGCTTCGCGCATGTTCGATCTGTCTAAACCGAAGGACAGGACGACGCTCGCAGACTCTGAGTTCTTCCCTGGGACGTACGATGCAGACGAGTTAGCCGATATGGGATTGCCCGTGGACGACCTGAAACAAATTACTCCTGCAGTCGCTGTATATTACCTCTTCAACCCCTCCACCTCTCCTGATGAGACTCCTCCACTTACTCAAGCGATGCTGGGTCCCGCCTCGGCTTACGCCACATTGCAATCTCTTGGAGGCACCCTCGCTTCGCGCCCATGGGTCGACAACGCATGGTCCATGATCCTCTGGAAGTTGGCTGGCCTCGCATGCCTTGACCCGCAACGCGAGCAGACCCCGGATAAGCGATGGAGTTACGCGCACGTCCTTGAGCAGCTGAGGTACCGCTACGCGCGCGAGCTGGCGGGTGGACAACGCCCCGCGTTAAGGTTGATCGCGACGCAGGATATCAACGCCAGTGCACCGATGGTGCTGTGTGTCTCGGACGTGATATGGCCACCAGGCTCCTCACGGGAAGATGTGGATGTGAGGCCCGAGCTTGAGCTCACAGATGGATGGTATCGTTTGCGAGCTGAGGTTGATCCCCCTCTCGCACGCGCGGCACGAGCGGGGAAGATAGTCAGAGGTGGCAAGCTCGCGTTTGCCAGTGCACGCTTCGCCGGGAGCAGACCAGAGCCGACAGAGATCCTGGAGGGTGCATATGAGAGCGTGAAGCTCAGTCTTAACGGCAACTCGAGTTGTTTGGCCCCATGGCACGCGAAGCTCGGACTGCTACGCAGCGCACCGGCCGCTACGTTGCATAGCCTCACGCCAGACGGCGGAGGGGTGCACTTACTCGATGTTATCGTCAGCAAGGTCTTCCCGATTGCCTTCATTGAGTTCATCGATGAACCCGGGAAGGGGCCGGATGGGAAGAACAGGACCAGGAGAGAGGGACCGAGGAAGGAGGCGGACGAAGCGAGGGCGCAAGCGAAGTGGGAGGATCGGAGGACGAAGGTGGCGGAAAAGCTAAGAGTAGAGGCAGAGAAGAGGTGGAGAGCATGGGAGAGTTGGGCTGGCGCACTGGTCCGCAAGGCCAAGGGACGAGTGCCCGCTGAGGACGATGAGATGCCGGCCAACGTCGAGGAGCTTCTCGAAGAGCTGATTGACTCTGGCGACATTAACGCCGTTTCGCGGGCAATAACTCCGGCGGATGCCGGCTGGCTTGCGACGGCTTTACGTTCCCGGATCGACCATGAAAGGGAGCATGCCGCGGAGGAACTGGAACGCGAAGTGGCGAAGGAGTGTCCGCAGAGGAATGTCAGGAGCTTTAGGGTGTTATTCATGAAGGACGCGAAGACGGATAGAAGACCTGCAAGACGGACGGCGGAGATCACGGTCTGGGATGTGTTGAATCTTGCGTTCGAGGAAGGGAGGCCGGGACATTTTGCGGAGGGGCAGCGGTTTCTTGTACGTGTAGTTCGTTGGTTTGGATCCTCATGACACTGACGTGTGGCTGTTAAAGGTGTCAAACCTGCAACCGAACCAGGCCGGTGCATGGATGTCGACGCGAGACGAAGACTCACATGTGTACCTCCGGACTGTGAAAGGTACTCGATGGACAAAGCTGTGACACTTTCATCCATCCAGTCCTGGGTATAGGTATCAACACGTCGAGCCTGTCTTGCCACGGTAGTATGACGTGCCCAAATTCTAGACATAGCGCATAGCGAGGTTCTATATCTAGAGGCAGTGAAGTACTGCTGTATACGCGGAAGTGAATGTAGCCGTACGTGCGCAGAACGATCAACTCCCATCGACTCGTACATCTCTGATCATATCCATTGTGATGCACCCCACGCGGGCAAATCACGATCGGTGCATCACCATTGCTTAGAACAGCGCTCTCTCGTGCGGTGTTTTGAATTAACAGTGAATAGTATGTAGAATACAGGTAGCGCACAGAAAGCAAGCAACAGCAACAACATGGGCGGAGAGTAGACTTGACATCGCCAACACCCTCTACAAGACGCCGACATCGTACTTGCGGAACGTCGCCTCCCAGTCTCCAAGGTCCTCGCGGCCCATCGCGACAATCGTGGGCTTGCTCCCGTACTTGGGCCCGAATACACGCGTCGCCACGGCCTGCATGCTTTCCGGGGTGACAGCGTCGATCTTCTCGCACATCTCCTCCACGCTGACCTTGCGGCCCTGCGCGAGCAATTGACGTCCAAGATCCTCGACCTCCACTGCACGGCTCTCGAGCGCCATGACCAATATGCTCTTCAGCTGGTTCTTCGCGCGCTGAAGCTCGGCTTGCGGCGTGTGGCGGTATAGCAGCAAACTGAGCTGGTGCACCAAGTGCGGGAGGATGTATGGGACGCCGCCCTTACGTCCGCCCTCGGGGAAGTAGCTCGCGAAGAGACCGAATAAACTGCTGTCCGCGTATATATGGTTGAAGCTCGCGCAATGGTCGACGAGCGTGTGGTGGTTCAAGATATGCGTGTACAAGCGGCTGTACATGCCCTTGCCCGGTCCACCCGCGCTGAACGAGCCGCCACCGCCAAGGAGGACCTGCATGGTCGCGAGGTCATAGACGTCCGGATCAAGGATGCCGACGCCCTCGAAGCCGATGTAAATATGGTTCAATGGCGCGTCGGGATCGTAGACGAAGCGCTGTCCGCCAGTGTAGCCACTTGTTGTAACGTGAGGCGTGGCTTCGGGCACTGCGCCTGACAAGTATGATGCGGCACGCGATAGTGACTGCAGCATGGAAGGAGATGGGGGAGTTGAGCCCAGCAGATGTGGGGCAACGCGTTCCGTGCCGGGTGCCCGTGCTGACGCATGTAACGGCGGTTCGGGTGCGGGTGCTGTCTTGAGCTCAGAGAAGTGTTTATGCGCGAGCTCCAGTAGCTCTTCATGCGGGACGCCGGCGCCAGCCAAGACCATCCGCTCCGGCCTGTACCACTGCTGCTGGAAGCGCTTGAGCAGTGTGCTGTCGATGAGGTCTATCCTGTGTTCCGGACACAAGACGGGGTTGCCCAGTCCTTGCGCTCCATACGCAACTTCGTGTAGCACCTCCGGCAAGATCAGCTCGGGCTTCTGGTTCACTTCGCGGATCTCGTAGCGCGCTGCATCGCGCTGCGCCTCGACCTCTTCTGGCGTGAATGACGCGCGCTGGACAGTGTCCGCGATGAGATCGACTGCCAGGGGCGTTGCCTGTGGGAAGTGTGTCGACTGATACATGATCGTTTCCCGTGACGCGGTGGACATTATCTGTCCACCTAGTGAATTGACCTGTGCTGACATCTCCTCCGCCGTCCGCTGGGATGTGCTCTGCGGGGTAGCGCCCAGTAAGCATATATGTGCGCGTAAATAGAATATACACTCACTTGGAACGACATCCTGTCGAGAAAGTGACTGGCACCAGACGTTGCCGGCGTCTCGAACCGCGAACCAGTATCGACATAAAGTCCGACAGAGGAGAAGTGACCCGGCGTCTGCTCAGTCGCGACGCGGAATTTGTTGGGCAATGTCGTGACCTGCACAGTAGACGGATTTCCGGTCGCCGTCGACGCTCGGCGGGCTGAAGTCGCGATTCCGCGCTTCAAGGAGTTGTAAGGTACTTTGCGCATCGAGGTTCACTCGCAAGACGTTGCGGCCGTTGGTGCCGAGACGCGCTTCGACGCGTCGCTGCACGGCGCGTCATATCTAACTGAGTTGTATATGCTCATTATGAAAGAATTCAGCTACATGACTCTTTAGCTCAGTGGTTAGAGCATGCGATTGCAGATCGCAGGGTCTCGTGTTCAAATCACGAAAGGGTCTGAAAATAACTTTTTTCTGCATTTACCATCAATATATCAATACCCTCCCGTGTATCACGCACGTATGTACAGCCAATGACATTTGTGGGCGGGACGAATGCTCAGCGCAAAATGACTGAATCAGTACAACACCTAAGGCATGGTTCTGTTTCGGCATAACTTCCGGCCGAGGGCAAGTAGCGAGTTAATCCAGACATATGACCGCATAGAACCCTACCTGCCAGCAAAAAACTGTCATTCTTGGCAGGCAGACCCTTTCGTGATTTGAACACGAGACCCTGCGATCTGCAATCGCATGCTCTAACCACTGAGCTAAAGAGTCAGGTAATCCTACATTTATAGTGTCAGCCTGCTTCGGACCCGTTCGCGCACCCCAAGATGGACCGCCCTGGCATATATGTACACATGAATTTTCATCCAGAAAGAAGTACACTGAGGATACTAATCCTGACGCGAGTCAAAATGGCAAAGGAGAGGTGTTGTGTTGCATAATTAGTTGACTTGGATGAGTGGGTAACGAGGTCGATGCTAGATCGAAAGCGAATGATCGACGATGAGAGATGGGGTATATATGTAGACATGTGGAAATTGAAGATTGGAAAGGAGAGTGCAGGTGTGTCAATTGTTCGGAATCGCAGAATATAGTACGCAGAGAAGCTCCGTCCGGCGAGATGTAGAGATGTGGTGTAAGGAGGGGAAGCACGAGCCGAGCTCTATAAACCTGAAGATAGAGGGATGGAAGAAGATTATATGTCTGTACAAGTTATTGCTTGATGTGATAGAGACAAGATGCGACGACAATAACGGCAGAGCTCAAGACATGGTGACAGTGACACTCGGCAGCGGACCTCTACTCGACCTCAATTGGCTCAGCAGTAGAGACGCCTCGACCTCATCCTCGCTATTCGGCCCGGCCGTATTCGCGCCTTCAGTCGGATCTGCCTCGCTATCGTCGATGCTCACATCTCCGAGGTCCAGACTGACGTCGCCAGGTTGCGTAAACGAGTCGTCTCGCCAATCGCGCAGCTCCTCTGCCGTGAGCACTTTCGCAGCGCGATGATCGTCGGGAGTGCTCGTAAGCGCCGCCTTTGCGTCATTCAATAAACGATCCAGCAGGCCCTTGACCCGTTCGTACGTCTCGTCGTGCACGTCTGGCTCCATCTCTTCGTCATCCTCGGATGACGATGCCGTAGGCTCGTCTGCGGGTGCGGGACCGTCTGAGGATTTCAGTGCTCGATAGGCGCGTGGAGGGAGGATTAACCGCGACTCGCGCAGCTTGCGCCGTAGCTCGCGGATCTCCTTTGCTTGCTTGTGCTTCTGACCTTCTAATGAAGCATTGATTGCGAGCAATGAACGGTTGGTGATTTCCAAATCTTCGATCTATGTGATATGAGCATAGTGCAGACGTGGACGGGTTTCGTTCGAAGCTCACCTTGCGATTGGACTTGGCAGCAGCCCGGATTTGGCTACCTGGAGCGGTGGGCATCAACGATGATGGCGAGGGCGAAACGGAGCCTTCGCGGTTCGGATCCACAGTCGTAGCAGCGCTCGTTCGCCTCGACGAAGGGTCGAATAGGCCGACTATAGCGTCGAATACGCCCCGCTGGTCCGGCAACCCTCCATACCGCTCTTCCCCCTCCGGTTTCGTTGCCTTCGCCTCTGCATTCACGTGCGAGTAGACGGTTGGAGCAGTGGACGATGCTTCTGATGCGGACGAGTAGGCGACTTGGGATAGCGACGAGCGGGAACTGTGAGAGGAAAAGGAGACTGTGCTGCCTGGCGGAGAGTTCGGCAAGGGGGGAAGAGCAGACACGTCCACTTTTGCAGTACGTGCCTGGCTCTGTGAGGCAGGTGCTGGTGCTGGTGTAGGTGAACTCGGGAACGGCCGTCGTTCTAATGGTGGTGGATGGCGCAGTTGCCCCGATGACCGTCGTTGGTCCGCGGGTGCAGAGCTGGGAGGCGAGACGGCTGCGTGTATTGATGGTGGAGGAGAAGTGGGAAGAACCGGCGATGAGGGTACAGAAGACGGTCCTCCGAAATCAGGCATGGGCGGACTCCGTACTTTACGCACGGGGCGTCCAGTAGTAGCATATGGCGGCGATGACTTTCCAGATGTGGTGTTTGAGTTTGTTCGTGATACATGGAGTGGGCTTGTGGGCGCGCTTATGGGGCCGGGTGCCTTTGCGAGGTTGGACACTTTCGACTTTACGCGGATGGCGGGATCTGGCGAGAGATGGATATTGTTGGCGACGGGCGTCAGGGGAGCGGTGAACGTGCCGCTGCTTGTCCTGGCGCGGACTCCGCGCTGCAAGGAGGATGCGGAGGAGTGGGAAGTGGCTGAGAGGGAGGAGGTGGAGGTGTTTGTGAGGGCGCGCTGCCTGGAAGCGACGTCGTTCTGGGTGAGGGCGGCCCTGGGCCTGGAGGAGCCGCCGTAGCTGGCGGAGGAGGTGTGCGCAGACTGGGAGCGGCCGACGGGCGGAGCCGAGTACTTGACGGGCGAGGCCGGCCGGGGGATCGAGGACGAAGCCGGGGTGCGCACGACCGGCGAGCTCACCGCGCTCATCGTGCCAGACACCCGCCTCGCCCCGTTCGTCGTGTTGATCTTCGCACTCGAGTTCACCTTGGCTTTCGGTCGCAACATTCCGTTGTTCCCGACATTCGGACTGCTGGACTTGTATGGCGATACCGGTCGTGGGCTCGGGGACGTCCGATGGGAGAGATCTACTTTAGCTACAACCTGCTTATACACGGTAAGCAGGTTGGCGTCTATATCCCGGAGAACTCTCGCCTTTCGTGCGCTGGTCGTGTCCATTGTCCATGCAGGTCGTGAGTGTTCGAGTTGAAGGTAGCTATCAAGCACATGGCCTTCCCGAGTTGCCTCCGCAGAACGGGAACGAGGCGCGGCCAGGTTGCCAAGAACGCCGATCCAGTCGCTTGCTCTGGACGCCGACGACGTGCTACATTTTCCAAGTTCTGTACATCTAATCTAATGAACCCCTTTCTTGGACAGCACATCCTCGACCACCTTCTCGACCATTGCTCGGATCCCACTGCTCCCCGATCCACCCAACGCAGCTACCACGCTCTTCTCGACGTACTTCCCCACCATGTCCGCCTCCACGTTGACCTTCGCACCTATTTCTTTCCTAGCAAGCGTGATCTTCTCCTGCGTATGCTGGATCAACATCACGCTGAATGTACCGGCTGCATCATCGACACCGGTCAAAGTCAAAGATGCCCCGTCCAATGTAACGTAGCCCTTGGGGATCAAGTATGGTAAAAGGGAGGGTCGTTCCGGTGTAGGAGGTGACAGTCGGAACGTCAATCGTAGCGAGTCACCATCAGCAGTCTTAGATACGAGTGTTGCTGTCGTATCAACATGTGCCTACACAACATTACCATAAGTACTGCGGTTCGAAGATATCCAAGTGACTGGTGTGCACCTGTACAAAGTGTCCGCCGAAACGAACGTGTGCCCCCATCGCACGTTCCAAGTTCAACTGGTCTCCGACCTTGCGCTCTCCTACGTACGCCGGTGTAAGCGCTTCGCTGCCTCCTCGTGAGTGAAGATCAACTTCACCAAGATCAGTCCTGTCCAGCGTCTCATTCGCCAGCCACACCTCGAACCATCCGCCCTTCTCCTGCGCATCAAACTTCGTCACCGTCAAGCACGCGCCGTTGACCGCAATACTATCTCCGATATGACAGTCGTCCAAAATCGGTGCGGCATCCGCGATGTGAATGGTGCAACCGCCCTCGTCGAGCTCGATGGAGTCGACGGTGCCCATGTGCTCGATCTGCGCAGTGAACAGGCTTATTTAGGGTGGTTGGGTCCGAAGTACTCGGGTTCAGAACGCACAAGGCCGGTGAACATCTTATGGCGATGGTTGTCAGAGACAACAGTCAGAGTTAGTCAGTCTCTGGCGCCAGGACTGGGATTGGGCAGGTTGCGCGAGCGCGCAGCAGCTCCGGCGGTCATAAGTGCCCTATCGCCCGTGTTTACACGGTCCAGCTCATGTTCTGTACTGTATGTTCTCGCTGAAGTACAGTACAAAATACAGCAAGTGTACTCCAGCGTGTGGATCAGCCAGACCATCTCGCGGTCAGCTGACTTTCGAGAATGGCTGCGCCACAGTGGTCTTATGCGTAACCTCGACGGTCGACTGGCCAGAGCAACTACATCCGACCACACGGAACCTCTCATAGTGGCAAATCAGTTTTACAAGGGATCTCAAAATATGATATAGATTGTCTCTTCCAATACATAGTATATCCAGGGCAGGTTGTCCTCCGAGTAAAGTCTGTCAGCCACCAGCCGCCCTACGGGCCATCTACGACATTCATGAGGACGACTCAGTCACCACGCGAAGATGGAGTAGAAACTCACCAAATCAGCAAGGGATACCTGTCCCGTGTCACCATCATTGTACGGCTGTACTTTCCCGGGCTTCGTCTTCACCGAACCAGTTGGCCGCGCTGCGGTCGGCACAGGCGGCTTACGCGCACCTGGGGCAGGGGCCCCACCTGAACGCGGTGCGGGCGGAGGTGCACCAACGCCGGGTCGAGGGGCGGGAGGAGGGGCGCTTACACCTGGTCGCGGCGCAGGGGGCGGCGCACCGACTCCTGGCCTAGGCGCCGTCGGCGGTTTGGGCGCGCCAGGCTTTGCTCCGATGGGAGGAGGCTTTGCGGCGATGGGTGGCTTCGGTGCACCTGGTTTTGCAGCGATCGGCGGAGGACCAGGTTTGGGAGATGGTGTTGGAGCTGTCGAGCTCACGGTAGACGAGCCGTTAGAGGCACCAGGCCTTTTCCATGGCGTGGCAGAACCATTGGCTGCTCCCATGCCAGGGAAGACCGAGACGGGCTTCGCGTTAGCGTCCGCCGCGAGGGCCGCCACGGAGATGCGGGAACCCGTCGGCGTTGCAGCAGCTGCAGGCGCAGGCTTCGGCTTAGGAGCGGCAGGTGCGATCGCCGCTGCAACGGCGGCAGCAGCGTTCCCGGGCGGCGGAGGAGCACGACGAGCGGCGGGCGGTGGAGGCGGCGGTGCGGGTGCAGCCTTCGGCTTGGGCGGTACGAGCTCAAGGTAGTTGTGCGGCGCCCAGCCTTCGGTTGCACCCTTCTTCACGAGCCACCAATCACCCTGCTTCTCGACGAGTTCGACGATGTCATCCTTCGCGAGCGACATCTCACCGTCCTGACCCTGGAATGGATATTTCGCGCGGTACTGCTCGACATCAGGCTCGTCGGGGGGCGGTGGGGGTGGCGCCGGTGCGCGAGATGGTGGTGCCGGAACAGAGCGGCCGCCTGGCGCAGCCGCCTTGACGCCACCGTTGGGCAAAGGCTGGGCTGCAGGCGTAGGTTTGGGCTTGGGTTTCACGGCCGCTGCAGGGCGAGAAGACCCGTTGCCTGGGCCACCCTTCCTTAACAGCTTACCCTCCGTGATCGGACGCACGACGCCGGCTTTGCGCTTAGCAGGTGGGCGTGAGCGTGAGTTGGGTGGCTCGCCAGACGCGACATGGATGGTGTGCGACTTGTACGTGTCGTCCTTTTGTACTGTCTCGTCCTTGAGCACCTTGATTTGTGCACGCTTGTCCTTCTTCTTTGCATAATCAATGCTATGGGGTGCTGTTAGTGTTTCGCATAGTTACCAAGCACGTGAAAGACCTACACAGGCCCAATATTCACTTGAATACTAGCTTGTGTCAGCGTGAGAAGAACGGCAGCAAGTTCGGTCTTAAAGTAGCAGTGCAAGATTGGGTCGCCTTCTTCGCTCGCGTTGGTGTTGAGCACAAACCAGTCGTCGCGCAAATTGGACATCGCGACGCTCCTGATCGTCACAAGCGGGATCTTGCGCTCGAGGGTCGTCTGAGCCGCGCCGCCTACAATGTTTGTGACGCAAATATGGAAAGCCTTATTCGTCTGGTGCAGAACTTCAGTACCATACATTATGTGAGGTGTGGCCTACTCACTACGATGAGAAAGCGGGGGCTTGGCTTGCTGGACCGACCGAGCTTGGACACGAGCAACTGACCACGCGCGCTGAAGTGGACTTCCTCCGCTGTAGTACAATCAGTAAGTGGGCATATAAAGGGCAGACTCGAACGTACATCCAATGCCACAAGCCGCCTTAAGCTCATCGCCGAGAGCGCTCCTGCCGTTCACATCCAAGTAATCACCCATGAAGCGACGGTAGCTGAGCAAACTGAACCGCCTGCGCTCCTTTCTATCAGCAAGGACTTGGTGACCGTAGTCACGTTTTTGGGCGTAGATGATCGCCTCCTTGTTGTTCTTCCAGAAACGTTGGATGCGACGTGCGCACTCATGCTTGTAACGCATGTAGTTGCGGAATGCGCGTTGGATACGGCGGGCCATGTTATGCCAGTAGCGATCGCGCATAGTTTCCAGCGCAAATAGCTGGATGACGAGTATCAACTTGGAGAAGAGGGCTGTGAATATCCTGAACATACCGTCTCCGGGTTTTTGATGAACGCCTTCGTCACACCCATCTGCCATTCTTCCTTCGCGATACCCGTATCCCTCAAGATCGTCTCACACCCCGACTTGGCATCACGCGTCCAGGTGTAGTCTCCTGCATACGACGTGTTCGGCGAAAGCAGGTAAAAGCGCTCGACCATCTTCTCAAAAGTGTTGCGGTACGCGAAACCAGCACGTCGCACACGAATATTCTCCTGTAGCCCGAGGTACTTGATTTGATGAAGAATGGCCTTGTCATCGTACTCGGTCGCGCTACGGTTCTGGTTGGGCTTGATAGTACGAATGTACGATGGTTGGGCACGCGACAGGTTCTCGACGAGAGCACCAGCGGATGCCTGAGCATTGTTAGAGAGGGCGTCTGTACATGATCTGGAGAGTGAGCATACTTTGATCCTATCCCCAGCAGAAGGAGGCCGCTTCTTGCTGTTGGGATCGGGACGGTCTGTGAAGAGACCCTGGAGGAAGGAGTTGCCGCTGACCCCGATCAAGTCGTAGATGTCTTTAACCAAGGCATCCTTGTTCTTATCCGTCATGCCCGCGACGTTGTACGTGACGTCTCCAGCATAGTGCTTGACCACGAACTTATTTCCACGCGCTTCAAAATGCGGGTTCGATGCAAGACCTGCAGTGCGCTGGATGAAGCTTTGGTCGGCCGCGGCGGGGTCCGCATGAGCGGTGGCAGTAGCATCATTAAGAGCGGCGAATATTCCAGGAGGGCGACGCTCCTCGATAAGGTCGCACACGATCTTGTTGTCGAAGTACTTGATCGGCGTCCACTTGATCTGCTCAGCGGCATATTCTTCTTGTTCGGTCTTGAGAGTAAGCTCGATGAAGATCTGTTGCAGCTTCTCGTTGACGTAGTTGATGCATAACTGTTCGAAGGAGTTGTCTTTGAAGATCTCGAAGCCGAAGATGTCCTGTAGATGTCGTGAGATCCCGGCGCGGCATGTGAATGGCCACGCTCGCTTACCAAGATGCCGATAAGATGCGCCGTCGCCTGACGGGGCTTCATTGACACGTTGATGCGCGAGACAATCCACTCAAACATGTTGTTGTAAAGCGCCTTGGCGAGAGCGTCGCGCCCGGCGGCCGCTTGAGCAGGGTTGAGAGGGACGTCGTAGACCGATCCGCGTCTTCCACCACGTTGCGTCTCAACGACCTTGGTCGTGAGGACTTTCGTAACAAGTTCTGACGGGACTTCAAGGAGATATGCGACGAAGTCGACGGTGCCGGCGTCGGCGATACCAGCGTTTCCATCATCCTTCTCGTTGTAAGAGACATTGCCGATCCAAAGGATAGCTGCGAGCATGCGAAGAATATCGTTCTGCTCCTCCCCGCTCAGACCAATGACAGCCATTGCTTGCTATGTGCGGATAAATCAAGTGGCTTTACAGTGTTAGTTGAAGACATACCAAAGTTTCCGAGAAGTCCTTCACATCATCGATGCCATCGACTGTCAAACAGCCAGAGTTTGCTGTGTAAGCATAGTCTTCCGGGCCCTTGATACCAAAGTACTCTATGGAACAAATGAGTCTGAGAGGAGCGGCACAGTAGGAGTTGCTACAGACCTCGCTGCTCTGGTGTTGCACCTGCAGCAAACTGGTAGAAGATATGGAAGTTGCGCTCGTCCTGAACTTGGCCGACGACGCGAGCTTTCTCCAGCAGATAGTTCGTGATCTGAGCACCGATGGGTTCACCTTGTGTATTAAACATGATCTCGAGGTATTTGCCCTTTGGCGTAGGTGAGCACACGACATGACACAGGAAGTCAATCCGCTTACATGTCGACTGGAGTTATTGTTTCGCAGCGTCTTTGCGCAGCCGAAAGACTCTAGCAACGGGTTGGTGGCGAGCACCATATCCTTGATCTGTTGAATGCTGCTGTCTTGTCCACCGGAGACCGCAGCGATGTACTGCATAATGCGTTTCGCTGCCTCCGTCTTGCCTGCACCCGACTCGCCGGAGATGATCACACATTGGTTCTCGTGGTAGGCGTTCATGTTGTAGTAAGCGGTCTCCGCAATGGAGAAAACGTGGGGTGGGACCTCTAATCGGTTCTTCCCCTGGTATCGGTGAAGGACCTCGTCGGTGTAGATCCCGAGATCTGGGGTCCAGTCAGCGGACAAGCACAAGACGAGCACCGTTGAGCGCGCACCTCGAAATGGGTTGACGGAGATGAGCACACCCCCAATCCAGGTGTAGATGTCGCCGGCCTTCCAGCGCTTGCCCAGGTTCTCGTTGATGCTCTCGTTGCTGATCGTAGTGAGCAGCGTCATATCAGAGACGCCGACAGACTTCTTCTTGAAGCCTTCCTTCCAGTCCGCCTGGCGAGAGTATGAATATCCCATCTATACAGTCCACTGCTCCACGCACTTTCTGTACTTTGGCAGGAGCTTGCTTCTTGGCCCCGCCGAGCACCTTCTTGCCCGCCTTCTTCGACGGCGCCTGTATCGCAACCTCAGACAGGTGTCATCCCACATCGCACTCGTATACTCACCATAGTAGATTGGGACTAGGTAATTTCTAACGAGATATACCGAAACAGATACACAAGAGGACCGGAGAAGACTGCAGAAGGAGAGAGATGGGGGTAACCTCCGAGTTGAGCGCGCGCCCGCACCGCCCGAACCGCGCTTGATGGCCACGCGCGCGTGAGAACGTCGCGGTGACGGAGACAGGTACTTGTACGCGTTTCTTGTCGGATGCAGGAACCATCTTCTCATGAAAACGCGTCTTGAGTATCGTAAAGACACACGACATGTCTATGCCTATTGACTGTACGTCACACTACCATTCATAGTCATACACCTATGCTGCAATGTCCATTCCAGCGTCCATCAAGCACTTTAACGACTCGGCTGTTGGTCGCAATAAATCCATGTTCTCCCGATTCTCCTGGAGCGTTTGCTTCAGCGCCTGTAAGAGTACCTTCGTCTCCTCCTGGGCGATCAAAGCCTTCAGGTCATTTGACGGCAAGTTGGCGAGAAAGTTGCGCACGCACACCGCGCCGCGGTGACGCAAACCAGGATCGGATGCGGCAAGCGGCACCTCCTGGCTGGCGAAATCCGGTTCCTCCTCTTCTACAGTCAAAGGGTCCAGTAAATGTGGATCGAGTAGTTGTATAAATGTCCGCATAACTCGATGCTTCTCCTGCTCGAGCGCATATAGAAGCTTGCACGCATTCGAGGACGTAGTCAGTGTCGCCAATGCGCCCGAAGCAGCCAGACGCGTCGGGAGATCTTCCACATCTGACAAAGCTAACAGGACGTGCAGTCTTGACTTAGCACCATCTGACTTTCCATCGCCTGTATACCGCGTGAAGACCTCCTCTGAGCCAGCCATGAGGTTACACAGCAACTCCATCGCGGCTCGCCTGATCATAGTGTGATCGTCAAGCATGAGGAACTCGACCTTCGACAAGAGGCCGTTGGCCTTTGCAATATGATCGGCGGCTTGCTCCGAGTACGACGAGAGGTTCGTCAGCGCCATCATGGACTCGAACCGCTGGAGTGCGGTTGAAGTTGGGTGTTGCAATAAGATGGAGAAGGGGCGAATGGAGTCAATCAGGGGACTCGCGCTGGGTCCAAAGACCTGCAAAGGCGACGCTGTGATAGCCAACTTAGCGAGAGCTTGTACGGGTGGAAGGATGGTGGGCGGCGGCGGCTCAAGAGGTTCTGATCCCGAAGATGAGGCATCGGGCAACGATTTCTTGATACTCTCTGCCAGAGCTCGAGTAGAGCCAGCTTGTAGCATCAGACCACGATTCTCCTTGTCTTCAGAGATGTAAAGCAACGTCTGCCCTACGATGAACCTGATCCCTTCGCTGTCGCTCATCCGGACGGCGCTCGTCAAGACGTTCAACCCGCCTGCTTGGACGACCACCTTGCAGCGCTTCTTGGCGTGCTCGTCATCATCGAGAATGTTTTTGCCGTCTCCATCTTCCGCATCTTCGGACTTCTTCCCCGACTTGGCAATCCTTCGTAGCTTCTGGATCTGAGCGTCCTCGGCGGATAGGCGCGGTCGGTATGCGCATAAAGTCGACATGATCATGAGAACACCGAAGATCAGGGCATGATTAGGAGCCGCCGCGTTTGCACCCTTGCGACGAGAAACCAGAGCAAACAATTGCTGAAGGAATTGTTCGTCTGACGCCAATGTCTCCTTGACCGCAGGTTCGACACATAGGTACGCAAGACCCTCAACCGCGTCGGGAAGCGAATCCTTCTCCCCACTCAGGACGAGGCCTTTCATCATGGCGACCAGTTCGCTATCGGCTGCCGCACTGTCGGGCGCGTCACCCTGCGGAAGTGCAGCGGCGTCGGATTTCGCTCCTCTCGTGAGCTTCACGATGGCAATAGCAGCGAGTGCCCGCAGAGACTGGTCCTTTCGATGGATGACGGTTTGAAGCCATTCGATGCACTCCCTGGGCAACACGGAGCGGCATGCTTTATGTCCGACAGCCTGGGAAAGCATTCGCGCGACTTCCTTGGAGATGATATCGGCAGGGTATAGATCGAGAACATCAGGTAATGCGGCGAGAAAACTCTCTCGAGCGAAGAGTGTAGACGCGACCTCCCAGTCGACCTGGAATAGAGCAGACAGGAAGCTAAGGCCGATGATGACTTCTTTCTCCTCCGGCTCTGCGACGCGACCAGCCATGGGTTCAAATACGCGCGCAAGTCTCTCCGTAGCAAGATTCGTTTCGTCCCCAGCCTTTTGTGGAAAAGCTGTGCGCACTCCTTGACAGTAGGAAGCGAGAACAAGAAACGCCTTGGAGCGCTTCGACTCCTCCTGATCAGGCGTGAATGCAAAGGCAAGACACGCAAGTTCATCGGGAAGCTTGATGCCCGTAGACTGGTCTGTAGCAGTGGAAGCAGGAGCAGTTCTGGGAGTGTGATCTTCTTGTATTTCTTCAACGATCGCCATGGTGGATGAGAGAGAGCCTCAGAGAGGCAAACGTCGAAACGACGCGCTTGATCGCGGGAACGCGTCCTGCGCGTCTTCAACTTTTCGTGCAGCTTCCATGTCCGAGTCGAACGGTGCTGGCGAAAGCTCGACCGCCCTTGACACTGTCTCTTCAGCCCCACATGACAGATACCATGTACATGAAGACGACTATGTCATGTTTCGACTGCCCAATGGGGAGGTTCGGAGTCATCAAGTGAAGAAGAATGGGTGCGTCGAGGCATTTACGCGCCACACACCGGCTGTACTCATATTCGGTGTAGAACTCTATCTATGGGCCGCCTAGGCCAGTTCTCGGTGAATAACCTCATCGGGCAACCGTATGGCCTGACGCATGAAATCGTGGGGAAGGAGTTAAACGTCCTACCACCTCGCTCAATCGAGGATATCGGTATGTCGCCCTATGTATTGGACTCAGAATTCTCTACAAACCCTGGCAGAGGATACCGACGCCACGAATGAGCTCATAAACGATGGACAAATGGTGCAGCCTCTGACCGGGCCGGAGATTGAAGCTTTGAAGTCATCTGGAGTGCACGCCTCTGTATGCTCGTTCCTTCTCCGCGCCAGGCGCCGGCTGACTGATTCTTACAGGAAATCATCAAAAAGCAGATTGAGGCCCACTCAAACTATGAGCTCAAGACCGAGTATAGCAAAGACAAATACAAAAAACGCAAGGAAGCCAAGTGAGTGTCACCCTGCTTCGGCCTCGAACCTGTACTCAGTGCTTAGAAAGGTTCTTGAAGGCATTCACCACCGTTGAGCCGACAATATACAATGTCGCGGAGTATTGGTTCAACAAGGATCCTGGCCGTATACGCGATATGCGTGTAGATACGCTCTCGCAAATGTTGAACCTGGGCAACATTCGTCCGGGGGGACGTTATCTGGCCGTAGACGATGTTTCGGGGCTTGTCGTGGCTGCCATGCTTGATCGCTTAGGCGGAGACGGAAGACTAGTCACCATCTGTGACGTTGACTCGCCACCTGCATATCCAGCCATGTCGCAGATGAACTTTCCTAAGGAGTTTGCGTCTATCATGGCCTCTCTCAACTGGGCGACCGCTGAGGAGGAGTACACTCCAGGTAAGCGTCTACGGTGCACAGGACCCAATACGTATCTGAGACCAATCGACAGTTGCTCTCCTCCCTGATCCAGCACAAGATGATATCCGCTCGGACAAACATAAAGTGCGAATGAGCAAACGGAAAGCCGCTTCCGACGCGCTCGCCGCTACACGCGACGAACTCTTTACCGGCGAATTTTCGGGTCTCCTTATCGCCAGTCAATACGACCCAGCATCGGTCCTGACGCGCCTATCCCCGTACCTTGGCGGCTCAGCCTCTATCGTCATTTATAGTCAGCATCTCCAGATCCTTACTGACCTACAAAATAAAATGCGCGCGGACTTCCAATATCTTGCGCCAAGCGTGACAGAAAGTTGGCTGCGGAGGTATCAGGTCTTGCCTGGGCGTACACATCCAACGATGGTCACTAGTGGTTCCGGCGGATTCTTATTGCATGCAACCAAAATGTAGGCATCCTTTTCCCGCCGTAACGCGTTATGAATGATGTCTGTCTTTCAGATACAACGACCCGAAGGCGCAGGCGGTTACTTCGCATAGATCCAAGAAACGCAAGACCGATGCATCGGCGGGCGGGACCCCAGCAGAGACTCGTGCCGCTTCGCGTGAGCCCGAAGGGCCTGTATCTGTACAAGTAGACCAGCCTGCTTCCCCCAAACCCGTCGAGCATGCAGCAGTACCCGATAAAGTAAAATCCCACCGTACCACTGGCTCGGAACCCATGTCATGATAGCATCCATGCCGTTTGTATCTATTTCGTATGTGATACGTCGTGCAAGTCGTATTGTACGGACAGTGAAATAAAGCAAGGCATACAATGGCCCAACTGGAGGAGTACTTGGTCCAGATAGTACGCTATGAATTTGGTGCATGCGCTTGCGAAGGCTCGTCGGGAAATATCGAAGCGAACAACTGCGACATTGTGAGTCCAAGAGTAAACATTGGATCTGGATTCATACCTCATCGAGTACAGTATATAAGATGTGCTGGTTCAAGCGGCGATTCTGTAGGACCGCGAAGATGCGACGTGCACCGCGCCGTGCGTTCGACCGACCGATCATATTTGCGGCGAGATCGGGCACGAGTGCGCTCAGTTTGCGGTTCGCGTCGTCGCGAGTTCGTTGCTTTTGCTCCGCCGTGCGCGGCAGCGTGACAGACTTGAGCTTCCCGCCAGGCCATAGGTTGTCCTTGAACATCCGCACCGCCGTTAAAAGGTGAGCTTCATCCAGTAATGTCGATATCGTCTCGCGAAGCTTGCGCTCGACGGTGCTACCTAGCACCTGTTGGAGGATAACGACAACTGCATGACGCCGAAGCCAGTTATTCTTCTTGTTGAGCTCGAAAACGGCGAGGATGAAGTCGCTGATGGGCGCGGTGAACGCGTTGGCGCCAGGAAGTTCGAGACCTGCAAGACCCATCGCTACGCCGCCAGCATCCTGAAGCTCGGCAGCCTGCTTCGTCAACCGCTGAATGATGACGTCCAACATGCTCGGCCCAAAGAACATGTCGTCGATGCTACCCGCGACAGAGGTATACATGCTGCGAACAAAGCCAGCGCCCGGGACGCCTTTGGCCGGAATAGGAGTCGTCGGTGACGGTAACGGTGCGATGAAGGGTGAGTTGCGTGATAGGAAGGTACGGAGTTCATCTGACTCGCATACAGATGGGATGAGCACAACGTTCTAAGGATAATAAGTCTGACATTCCGCTGTGAAGTATATGGTAAACGCACTTGAATATATTTCTCTAGGCCTGTTCGGCGCGTGTCAACAAAGCTGGCACTGAGTGACGTGACCAGGTGCTTCCTTGGGAAGTCAAGCGTACGAACACTGGGGAAACGTTCGCGTAGTTTGTTGTGCATGGTCAGAAACTCGTTGTATCTTCGAGCAACGACCCAACCGGTCGCAACGCTGCCATCCAGAGCAAGCTGCTGCACTTCAACGAGGTATCGCACGACAGCGCGGCCTTGCTCTTCGCCTTGTACAGCGTTAACAATATGCAACTTTGTTCTCTCTGGGACGAGGGCGTTCGCAGCGTCCTGCTGAGCATACTGTTCGCGTTGAAATGCGAGAGCTCGAATTTCGCGCCCAAGCGCGCTTTTACTTGTCCGTAGGAGCCTTAGCTCAGCTTCATCGCCTGAAAGGTCTGCTTGCTTGATAAGTGTATCGAGCATCGCGTCCTGAGCGCGCAAGGCAGCCAGCTTATCTGCAAGTCGCGCTACCTCTGCCGCGAGTTGCAGATCTCCAATGCGTGCGGCGGCTATGTCCTCGACTCGCGGCTCCTGGCCATCATTCTCCACATCAGGCTCTCCGGGCTCCAATAACGATGCACTGTCTTCGGAGACTGTGCGTCGCATAGGCGGACGCTCTTCAAAGTCATCGAACAGACCACCGCGAGCACTGGTGCTTGATGTTATGGCTAGCGGCACTGCATGTGGCCGCCTCCCGCGATCTCGCTCGCGCTCATGCTCGGATGATTGCTGTGTCGCGGAGTCCTGTGTGATGATGTCCGTCAGGGCTGCCTGTATGGCAGCAACTGTGCCGATCTTCTCGTGACTCTCACCGCCGCCTGCCTCAGGGTTCTCAGGGTCGTCAAAGAGGGGAACACGGCTTTTGCGAGTGCTGGTCTCGCCTTCAGCGGTGACGGGCGACATCAAAAGATCCAAGCTTGATTTCGCATGATGCGTTTCTGGACGTGATGACAGATCAGGAGGTGTGGCCGAGGAAGTCGACTTGATCGAGGGCGTGGAGTGATTCCGAGAGGGATGGAAGAGGAAAGAGCTTGGAGATGAGTTCGTGCGAGTGACAGGGGGTGGTATCAGCGCGTGGAAGAGCATGGGCGGCGCGCTATTCTCTCGGACTGGCGACGGGTGATGTAACGCGGGTGCGGGGGTCGAAGCAATCGAGCCTCGTGCGGCAGTGATATCCTCAACGACGCGGAACCATAGCTCAGAACGCTCGAACTCTTCGAAATCTGCTTCCATCGCCTGTTCCACCTGTCGCTGGGCACGGATGACGCTGCGGCGCGCCTTACGAAGCAATGCGGCGTTGGGAATAGACTCATCTGGACTGGCGGTAGCGAAATCCCGGATCGCCGTGCTATACTTGGCAGAGACAGCGCTGAGAGCGGGGTGTGGTTTATCTCCGGCGAAGTAGAGCTCGTATATCATTGTGATATCTTCCCTGGCGGTAGACGGCTCTGCACCAGGAGTGGGTAGAGGCGCAGTATCGGGTGTGTCTGAGTCTGAGTCGGCGCTCTCGAGGGGATCTTTGAAGCTCTCTACGGTGAGCCAAAACTGTACGAGGAGGGACCGATCGCGTCTGTCGAGAAATTCCATGAAATAACTGAGGGAGTTTGGGTTACCAAGGACTTCACGCAAACTGATGTGCATCATGGATGCGGGCTCGGCTAAAGTTGCCCGCTAGATGGGCTTTAGTAAACATATATAGTGCGCTTTTTCGATACCCACATTATCAGCATTTTCTTGTCCACCCAGAACGATGATACGCTCCTCAGCTCTCCGCTTGGCAGTGTACAGCCTGTCCAGGAAAGCTACAACGTCTTCGGTTTTCTCCCCGTTTATCCAGTCGTCATGCTCGTGATTGGCTAATTGACGTAGTGGTTAAGCAGATAGATCGTTTGAAGGACGCCGTGTACCGACCTAGAAGCACTCGTGTCCGACGAATTTCGCCCACGATGTCGTTCTTGAGTCGACGAGCGTCCAAAAGTGACGAGGTTCGTGAGATGCTGCGAAGGAATGACTCGAAATGGCGAGCATCCGTCCGTACTGTGATGGTTTCGGGAGGCGGGGGTGCAGGGGGTGTATTTGCAGCCGGTATCGTCTCCGGATTCGAGGGGAGTTGCGTCTCAAGGACATTGCGGACCTTTGAGATCAACCGTCTGCGCGATGGTGAACAATCTTCAAGGACCCAACGACCATCTGGCTTACTGTTGTCGTATTGCCGCGCCAGCCTAAATACCACCACATAAGTACATGCGGATTTGGTGTCACGAAATAAACAAACCAGACTGTCAATCTGTTGATTCCAAAAGTCGGGGTCCGATAACATGGTGATAATCGGGTACATGACCACGCACGCCACAACTTCGCGGACGACGATGCGCACAGCTGCGCTACCCTTCTCGTCGGGAGGAAGCACATACGGTAGCGCACGCTCAACGAGCTTTTTGAGATGCGTCTCTTCGCTTTGCTTCGTGAACGCGGAGCTGAGATTTTCGACGGCAGGATGCAATCTCCCTTTGCCCGCATATCGCGCTGCAAGAAGCATGTCCAGCTCTTCTGACTCCGTCAGCTGACGCTCGAGCTTGGCACCCCGCAGAGCTACTTCTGAATCGCGGAAGTGCTCAATATGCGCCGTGATCTTGGGGAGTATGCGTTTGGCCAGGATGGACGATAGGTCGAGTGGCGCAAGTTGTGCAAGGACGCGTTCGAGTGATCCATGAAGTGTGGCGGAGACCGCAGTGGGGAACGACGGTGATGACGAGATATCGGTGTACCAAGTCAGTATGAAGTCGCGTACAATCAGGATCAGAATGTCGTTTATGGAATTGGAAAGTACAGGTGAGCTGGGTGCAATGGGCGGCAGTGTCGATGGGGGTTTGTACGCCCATTGCGACCGCGTCAGCACGACCTGCCATGCTGCCGGTGTCGATAATCCTAGAGGCCGCGCGGCTCGAGCTGAGACACTTCCATACGATCGTCGTTGAATGTCCAGAACGTGGCCGAGCACGATATGCAGCACGAATGATCCGAACGCGATAGTGGAGAGTAGTAGGGGCGAGACAAGTACAAAGACCAACGGACTAGACACCGCTCGCCAGATCAGTCGTGCAGTACATGCTGCGAGGGCGACAAAGATGACAACTCTAAAAGAACTCATCGGACATGGTAGTCGAGGTGAAAGCACACGCAACGGCAACATCCACCGCCGAAATCGCGCTTCTAGCTTGTGACGCACGTGACGACGCATCTAGGGACTGCCCCGGACACCACTCGGGCTACCGTCATGTTGGAACCCGACCCGCCGGCCTTTAAAACAGAGGACGAGTATGTGCTCGTACGTACAGATATCCAGCCGTGACTAACACTTCTTGAGCTATCGTCTACAGGAGAGTTTTTCGTGGCAGTGGTACGTCAACTTCTCGGCCTCGATGGAAGAAGTGCCACAACAGGCTCGCCCCAGGCATGTTGACGCGAAAAGGATGTGGAAGAATATAAGCCCACCCCATGGAGGTTAATTCTAGACATAGTAGAGCACGATGTTCTTGTAAGCGAGAGCTGAGAAATACTAGTGATCTTTGCCATGTATGTACTCGTCTGCTTGAGCTTGCAAGCTTTCGGCCGAACGATCTATGCCCGGGTCGTCGGAGCCTTCGGGGCGATGGCCTCCTGGCACGCGGCCAGACCATAGAGTCACTCGAGTGCATTGCCCCATAAACCGCTTGCGAATAGGAGTGCGCCGCTCTGCTAGGCCCTTCCGCGTCTCCGAGTGACTACCAGTGTGCGTCGTGACGCGCATAAGCACGTCCTGCCCGTGATCCCTTCCTTCACCCACCGTCATGTCCTCGTCAACCACTCCTGCGGCAGACAGGCCAACGCGCACATTGTCAACCGGCGAAGGCTTCGTGCTCGGAGGTATCGCAGCTTGTATTGCCGTCTGTCATTTCCTACGCGCACTGAATCCGTCATAACCCTGATCGGTCACTGTTTTGCAGGTCACCTTCTCGAATCCAGCAGAGGTTGCCAAAACCCGTCTGCAGTTGCAGGGCGAACTCGCGAAGGGCGGTGGAAAGAAGGTTTACAACAATGTGCTTGACGTGTTCGTGAAAACATGGCGGAATGAAGGATTGAGGGGTATGCAGCGCGGACTGCCGCCAGCAGTGCGTCTTCTATACCTTGCTCGAGCCTCCAAATACTCAATCTGGTGTCAGTACGCCTACCAGGTACGAGTGCATGATTCAGTTTCTGTATACTCTTGCTTAACAAAGTAGATGCTGCTCAACGGCTCACGTCTGGGTATGTGGTACGGAGGTCTGTATGCGGCCAAGTGCTGACGGACGGCACAGGGTTCTATGATCCATTGAGGAAGGCTCTAAATAGCTTATTTGGACTGGACGCCAGCGTCCAGAACCCATTCACATCCGTTGCTGCTGGTGCTGGAAGTGGTGCCATCGGAGGTAAGTTCTGGTAGAGCAGTTGTGAGTTTGCGCTAATACGCAGTGTACAGCGTCGCTCGGTAATCCATTGTTCCTAATCAAAGCACGCATGCAGGTACGAACTCGGGTTCAGTTATGCAGGCGTTTTCCGACTGAATTACTTTCAACAGGCGTACTCGCCAGCATTACCCGTCGGCGCCCAACATTTCTATAAGAGTTCAACGCACGCTTTGCGGACCATCTGGCAGACCGAGGGTCCTCGTGGCCTGATTCGAGGCGTTGATGCAGCTATCCTGCGTACAGCTATGGGGTCTTCTGTAAGATAAATGCAGACCTACCGATTCCTACACTAATGCTACTCAGGTCCAACTACCGACCTACAACTGGACAAAGAATCAACTAGTTTCGAACGGAATTCTTCCAGACAAGAGCGTCTGGACGTATCTTGCTTCCAGTTCTGTTTCCGGTATTTGCGTGGTACGTATGCCCATTCTGAGGGATTGACGCTCCCTCTGATAGCTCCCGTTCAGCTTCTCGTGATGCAGCCTGCCGATACGGTAAGATTCGCCAACAATAGCGGGACGATTCGTACACTGACGAACTGTAGGCCTTGACACGGGTTTACAACCAACCGACACAGACATTGCCAAACGGCCGTATTGTTGGAACGCTGTACAAGAACCCCATTGATTGTCTATGGAAGACCTTTAAGACGGAAGGTCCTCTAGCATGGTACAAGGGCTCGACGGCTCATTTCCTCCGCATAGCGCCACATACGTGAGTGCTTGATTCGTCTTCGCTAATCACACAATTGACGGAAGGCGTGTTAGCATCATCACACTCACCGCCAACGACCTCATTCTAAACCTCTACAAAAAGTACGCTCTATAATATAGCCCTATCTAGATTACACAATACTGTAGCTTGTCACATAATACATCTACATCACGGATGAACTAAAGGACGAAGCGTCATTGTAGTGCCACGTGGCATCAGGATTAGCACGTTCCCACGCGTGACCTGCAGTTCGAGTTTGCGCTCATGTTGACGTTGGTCAACGAACACGCGCTCGACGCGACTTGCTTTCTGCTCTCGCGCGTCTTTCTTCCCTCCCTCATATACCCTGCGACACCTCTTGCGTAACCCCATTCTGCACTCCCAACATGGGCCAGGTAAGTATCTGTGGCGTATGGCTGCGTGTCCACTGACTGAAAGATGCCAAAGTTGCTTTCCTTCGCGATTCATCCCTTCCGCACTCTACGAGAAAGTCGAAACGAGTACAGCGACGAGAATATTGACGACCAAATCTACCAACTCTCGATCTTTTTTATTTGGGGAATCTACACAGTCTTTCATCGCTACCAAACGGCCAAAAATAAGGCAGTGCCATTCCATGTCACTCCGCCCGAGGTATGCCACCTGCTTTGCGCGTGTCACTCGGTACTGATCGACACGTAGGCAGCCAACCCCAACTGGACTGGCGAGCCAATTCCGAACGCACATCTCGAATCACACAAATATCATCAACATCTACAACCACTGCACGAAGTACCCGGTGCAGAGTACATCACATGCTTCGATCCGGCGACGGGTTTGCATCTCGACACCGTCGTAGCGGACACGGGTGCGACCATCCAGGAGAAGATCGAGCGCGCGGGTCATGCGCAGAAGCGGTGGGCGGAGAGCAGCTGGGCTGACCGCCGCCGCGTCGTGCGCAGCCTCAAAAAGTGGCTCGTTGAGAACTCCGAGCTCTGTGCTCGTGTCGCCGCTCGCGATACGGGCAAGACGCTCGTTGACGGTGCGCTAGGGGAGGTTCTCACCACGTGCTCCAAAGCGGACTGGCTACTCCGCAACGGCCAACGGTATCTCAAACCGGAGAACCGAGGGAACCCTTGGCTGCTCTCGTACAAACGCTCCCAGATCTGGTATCAGCCTCTGGGAGTCGTGAGCGCCATCGTCTCGTGGAATTACCCTCTACACAATGCCTGGTCACCAATTCTTGCTGCTCTCTTCTCTGGCAACGCCATTGTCCTGAAATGCTCCGAGCACGTCGTCTGGAGCACCACATTCTTCGTCGAGATCATCAAAGAGTGCCTCCGCGCATGCAACTTCGACCCCGACCTCGTCCAGCTCGTATACTGCTATCCCGACACCGCCGAATTCCTTACGCGCTCGCCTTATATCAAACATATTACCTTCATTGGCAGCGAGCGAGTTGGCAAGATTGTGCGTCATCAATTCCGCTGTCCTGAGACGCGCTGACGTCCTCCATCCAGATCGCCGAGGCTGCAGTTCAGAATCTCACACCCGTGACTCTTGAACTAGGTGGCAAGGATCCTGCAATTGTTCTCCCCGGCACCGACCTCGACAAGTGGTACAGTACGTGGATGCGTGGCTTCTTTCAGAATGCGGGTCAAAACTGTATTGGCATCGAGCGCCTCCTTGTTCACACCTCACAATATGATGAGGTCTACCAGACCTTCCTTGAACGCGCACGCTCGCTGCGAGTCGGCGCGGCTTTGGCGGCGGATGGTGTTGGCACTGGCGTTGATATGGGTTCTATGGTGTCCGCCGCTCGTTTCCAACATCTGGAGGACATCATCGACGAGGCAAGGCAGCAAGGCGCCAAGGTCGAACAGGGTGGTGCACGCTTGAGACATCCGTATCTCGAGAATGGTGCTTACTTCGCGCCGACGGTCATTGGCGAAGTCACTCTGGATATGAAGGTCGCGCAAGAAGAGTGTACGTGACGGCTTCTCTCTCCACCTGCAAACTAGTCAATGACGGTGTTTGGTAGTGTTTGCGCCTGTTGCTCTGATTATGCCATACGAAACCATTGAGGAGGCGATCGACATTGCTAACGGCACTAGCTATGCCCTCGGCGCGAGCGTATTTGGCGCGAGCAAGTACCAATGCCTCGACGTTGCGAAGCAGCTACACTGCGGTATGGTGGCGATCAACGATTTTGGTGTATTCTATGTGCGTCCTCATCTTTCCATATGCATGGTCTCAGCTAAACTTCTTGAATGGCAGTTGAAGTGAGCGTCTTTTCCCTGCGCATATGGCGAGTGGTGTCCTAACCTATTGATAGCCAAGATCTTCCCTTTGGCGGCCTCAAGGGCAGCGGCTACGGGCGCTTCGGTGTGTTCTTTCTACTGCGGCTTCTCATACTTCCTTTCTCATGTGATCGCGTTCCGCATCTTAGGCGGGCCCGAGGGTCTCCGTTCGTTGACGAACCCTAAAGCTGTTGTATACGACCGCTGGCCATGGCTCTTCCAGACATCGATCCCGCGCCCGCTCGACTATCCGATCCGCTCACCTGGCCAAGCATGGTACGTCTTTTCATTTGCCGCGGTGATGCGTATCTGCATGTCTATCTCCCCCTTTCATCCGCCTGATCCACCGTGCTTTCTCCATCTTGTGCAAGCTTCTTCGAACCTGCCATACCATAGTGCACCCTATCGCTCTTCTTGATTTGCTCAAACACGCGATCTAACGGCGGTTTTGCTCTACCATAGGGACTTCGTCAGTGGCCTGATCGGCCTATTCTATGCGGACAGCTGGCGGTCAAGCATTATCCACTTGCAACGTCTCTTGAACGCCACATGATGAATGCACGTTCGTGCCCCAGGAGGGTCCGGTAACTTTCTGCTATGCGATGTTTTACTTCTGGTGTTGTGTTTTAGTGCTACATACTGCAATCTCTCACTCATGCTTTATCTCGTGCTGTTTATCAACTTTCTGCCGGTGAGGCAAGACGGATAAGTAGACGCCTTTCGCCCGTCTGACGCCCGTCGTTGCTATGCGCAGCATTCAAGAAGGCGGCAGTGCAGTGTGGAGTGATTCTGATGATCTGGCGGAACGCGTCCGTTCCTTGACCTGTGCTTGAGCCGGTGAACGTTTCTCCGCAGACAGCCGTCGTTATCTACGGTGACATGGCCATATGGGCCACACGTGCCCGTGAATGGAAAGTTGAGAAGGGGTGCAGAACGCGTTGGAGACCGCATGCAACACGACGGCGGTGCACAAGGAACTACGACGTCTTCGTACCTTCTTAGCTATAAAGTCCTCTTATCTTCGACGGCTCGTTGTCTGACCGAAAAATCTCTCTTGTCTAGCAAGTGCATCCGAGCTTTGTCCACTATGCTCACTCCTGCACTGCTTCTCGTCGCCACCGCCGCCGTCAGCTCGTATGCGTCGCCGTACTACGCAAATACATCGGCTGTTGAGCCGCACAATCTGTACAAGCGCATCAGCTCTGGCTGTTCTGCGACGACTACGAAGAGCTGCTCGAGCAGCGCGTCGGGAACTTGCTGCTTCGAGGCACCAGGCGGTCTACTTGTTCAGCCTCAGTCAGTCCATCCCATGTCACGATGGTTCTCAAGTTGACAGCATCCGATAGGTTCTGGGACACGGTATGCCAGCTCGTTCAACGAGTTAGTAAGTACCCGACTTGATGAATGATGATTGCAGGATCCCATCACTGGTCCGGCTAATAGGTGAGTAGCCCCAAGATGTTGGATTCAACATACACTTACTTCTTGATCAGTTGGACCATCCACGGTATGTGGGTGGATGCACATGGTGGTGACCTCGATTAATGGGGCAATCATGATCGTAGGACTCTGGCCCGACAAGTGTGATGGTACATACGAGGAGAACTGCGACTCATCACGTGACTACACCAACATCGGTACGCTTCTGAGCAACGCAGGACTGAGCTCCTTGGTCACGTATATGGAAGAGGTGCGTTCTTCTGACTCTCAGCCAAGGGAATGGCGCTCATGGCTCTTAGTTTTGGGTCAGTAATTCTGGCACAGCCGAGTCGCTCTGGGAGCACGAATGGGCGACGCACGGTACTTGCTACAGCACTCTTGAGACATCCTGCCTCCCATCTGGCAGCACGAAGGGTGCCGAAGCCGTTGCCTTCTTCCAGACGACTGTGAACCTGTTCAAGAGCCTCCCGACGTATACCTGGCTGGCGAACGCCGGTATCACGCCCAGCACAAGCAAAACCTACACGCTCGCGCAGTTGCAGAGTGCGATCAAATCTGCGTGGGGCCATACTCCCGCGTTTGATTGCGATGGCTCGGACGTGTACCAGATCTACTACTACTACTATCTCGAAGGCTCTGTCATTGACGGGACCTTCGTCCCCATCGGTACGTTCTTGATGAGGGATGCTGCCACAAGCGAACCAAGCCTCATGTTTGTACAGACGCCCCGTCCTTTGAGTCGGGCTCGTGCAGCTCCTCGGCAGCACTGAAGTACTTACCCAAGACGGGCGACACGACAACAGTAGGCGGTTCGACGCCAACCACAACCACAAAGGGCTCGACAACGACAGCTTCCTCGCCGACGTCAACTTCGACGGGGACTGCCGGCAGCATTCCCTCGAAGGCGACCATCAGCGCAATCACGTCATCTGGCAACACGCTCGGTGGCTTGCTTTCGTATGGCACCTGGTCAACGCAAACTCCCGGAACGTATACCCTCAGCGGCACCGTCAGTTCTTTCCAGATCTCTTCCTCGAAGGGAACGTGCGGGGTGTCTAGCGGCACCTTCTCCTGCGGTAGTGGCGTAAGTTCAAGCTTCTCCGCCATATCTTCCGGGAGCAACACGCTACTTGCATACTCGGGCAGCACTGCGTTCTCGAGCGACGCCTCTCCCAGCGGATCCACCCAGGAGACTGTCTACACCGGCTCGAGCCATAGCCAAAAGTACACGCTTGCGCTGATCTCTACATGATCCATCGGAACTCTCGACTGATGGAATTGTATGAGTTTGGACTAGCCTTGCTGTACTTCTGTACTTTCTTATGTAATGCACTAGTGCTGTACCATAGGCCTCAAAGTGACCTCAGTACCGATTCCATGAAGTCTCAAGAACCAATATCACATACACATGCAAGTCGGCACCCGGTGCATCTGTCTGCTTCGAGCCGTTTGGTGCACAGAACGTTGTGCGCAGTCCGAGACTGGCTGGCGCTGGATGTTATTATCATTGCGGAGGCAGCGTGGCTGTCCTTCTTCCGCAGACTGGCATGATCTCAGGCTCGGGTCAAGTCGTGAACATTCAACTGGCTACTTACTCTGATCACTGTTCGAACCCTATCGTTTCCTGTCTGCGCTTTTCGGCTATTCAATTATAGCCCGCCATCAACCATCGATCATCACTTGTTGCCGGGGTGAAACCTGGTAAAACACTTGACTGGTCTTCTCTCGAAACCCCTGACTCACTTCCTCCATCCTTCCTCTCATCATGCCGGCTGAGCGCACCCCCAAAATGGCAGGGTCGGCAAGGCGCCAACCACCCCCTAAACAACGCGGTAACGATCGTAGTCAACGTTCGGCTCGTGGTAGTGGCAACGATGCCAGCAAGAAAGGAGTCAGACCGCCGGGTGCTACTCGTGGACCTCCGCGCCTCAAGGAATATGAACCGCCGACGTACTCTCAAGCGCAGTCCCTATACTTCACCAGTAGCAATTGGAACGATGTCGAAACGATGGTGTCCAGGATGGGCATCACGAGTATCACATTTGACGCTGACTTCCGCGTATCAGAGTACGCCCCGTGCCTCACTATTGAGGATTGTTGTTCTCACTAGCCACCAGCGCCCACCTACAGATCATTGCCGAGCACCGTTGGTTTGCGAATTCGCTTGAGATGATCGCATTAGGGGACGAAGATACGGGAAACGGCACTTTGCTCACAGACGAAGGCGTACTCAAGCTGGTATCTGCAACTCGTAATCTGCGGGTTTTGTGGCTTTCGTCTTGTCTGAATTTGACCGACGCAACCTTGGTCAATGTTCTCGAACACTGCCCGCGCCTGGAGTCCCTTCGCATTTCAGGTCACGATAAAGGCTGCGGTAGAATATCAAAAAAGGGACTGAAAGCTCTGACAGAGCGTTCAGATATCGGACTCGCGCTGAAACACCTTGTTCTTCTCAGTCAGACGATAACGGTGGACGCGGGAGGAGAGAGAGAGGCGAAGGCATTAAGCAAGGCGAAGAAAAGGCTGGCTATCACAGTAGGCATCTACCCTGGAAAGTGCGTTCTTCGGCGACGGTCTTCTTAGTCGGTGAGGGACCTTAACACGTATGCACCGTAGGTACGATGATGACACGCCCAATTCCGTATTCTTCAACGGCAAGATGCATTTATTCGGCATACCTGTTTAACGATGACACACGTACACACATTACTTGGATTCGTAAGAAGTTGGTGTATTACGAGCGCAGGCTAGCGCTACACCGCAGTAGAAATCCATAGATCCTTCCAGAAATTTCGATGTGCACCATAGCAACAAGGCAGCCCTTGTCATCGTTCTTTCGAGTTGTACCCGCTCCCTGCGCGAAAGATGCCTCCTCAGTCAGCATCAGAGTCCTTACACTTGAAAGTGCTCCCCGGTCTCTTCTCAGTCTCGCAATTTTCTATCACTAAGCCGGTGGACATTGTGTTGCTAGACAAGCTGCAGCTCGCTGGCGCCAAGTTTATATCGATCACCCGCACTGACGAAGAGATATCCGTCGTAGAAGAAGTAGCAGACGCTGAAACCGCTTCGGCAGAGTGGAAGGGCATCAAGATCGAAGGACCGATGGATTTCGGTATGTTCGCACTCAACGGTCTGGGTGCCCCGCCCGCAGCTCACAATCACGACGCAGGGCTCACAGGGATCCTTCACGACCTCTCAGCCCCTCTGAAAGCCGCGAGTATATCCATTTTCGCAATCTCAACATGGTGAGTTCTAGGAAGCCATCCCCTTGATTGTGGTATTGACGTATGGTAGGAACACGGACTACGTATTTATCAAGAGGGATAAGGCAGAAGAAGCTGTTCGTGTCCTGAGCGATGATGGGTGGCACTTCGTTGAGGGACAGTGACAGAATCTGTATCGATACGTTAACAGCACTGCAAAAACGTATGTGATGTGCAGGAATGAGAAGATCAGTAGTACCCATGAAATTTCATAACTCGCGAATGGGCGATCATGTAATAGGGAACAAGTACGATTCCATCCCACAGAAGGGACAGCTGAAACCCGGAAAGACTCACCATTACGCGCTATGGCCCGTTGAAAGTGGTTTAACGAAGAGTAGTCCAGCTGAAGCGGTGGCCGTCACGAGAGTCGCAATCAAGTTGCGCTCGCGCGGCGCGGTGACCGTACGTCATCGGCGCGACATGCCGACCAGGCCGCTGAATCAGGACGCGATCCACACCAGCCACAGCTTGCTTTCCCCTACCACGACGGTAATTCTACTACACGAACATGTCCACACGAGAACCTATGTGGTACTGTCATGAGGTACTCACCGCGGCTCAGGCCGGATACACATCATACTTACATGAGCAACACAGTGTCATGCCGAGATGCGCCCACTCATGGTTAGCACGTCCGGATATGTCTACACCGTTGCGTCGCAAACAAAGCATGATTCTAGGTACCAGACCCTCATTGCGCTTCCTGCAACGGCACATTTGTTGAGAAGGTACTGCGTATCACAGATACATGTGCTTTAGGGTGATAACCATGCGCGACCGTAGATCGAGAGCGAAGAGGACGATCCGCGCGCGTTTCAGGAGTCAGGGCCTGCGCTTGACCTCGACGATGAAGGCGGCCCACCGGGAGACCTTCTCGGTACGCCTGTCAGACCTATGAGCGCGAATTCTGCTGATCTTCTAGCTGCGACAGCCAGTCTCATGCAAATCCTTGCTACCGGCCCACCCGGTCCTCGCGGAGCGACCTCGCTTCCCGGACAACCCGCACCTGCTTCTCCGGTGCGTTGCCAATTTAATTAATAAGTACTGCTTTGTGCTGACTCACAATTAGTTTGCCGGCAGTGGGTTGAGATTTGAGATCAGCCGCACGGGCCCCGGTGGCACTCAGCGAACCTTCGTACTGGGTGGGCCCAATACATTGGGTACTGCCGCTGCCCCAGATAGTTTACGGACTGGGTACGTCTTCATTAGATTTTGCTGAAACAACCTCTCAAGTTGAAAGTCAGCGCTGGTCCAGCCCCTGGAGGCAACACCATTGGAGGCAACCTCTTCGCGCAGTATCTATTCTCCATGTTGGCCAACCACGGAGGCCAAGGCCCAAACGGGATACCATTTCCAGGCCTCATGGGACAAGGTCCGGAAAACGGAAGATGGGGCGACTATGTCTTTAACCAAGAAGGTATCCTACTCGAGCACATCCGACCACACAATGCTCAGCTCCTACAGCTCTCGATGAGATCGTCACCCAATTGATGGAGAACAATAATACGTCACGACCCATTCCTGTTACAGAAGAAGTCATGCAGAAACTTGACCGAGCAGTTCTCGAGAAAGGGTGTGAGTACTGGGATCCCTGTTAGGTCAGGGTTTGGACTAAGATCAGGGCACTCGTAGCCCCTCTTCTCGATCGTGATTGTGCGGTCTGCAAGGACCAGTTCTCCGCAACTGCCGAGGATCCTGCCGAGCAAGTCGTCATAACGTTACCTTGCAAACACCCGTTCCACGAAGGTTGCATCGAGCCTTGGCTAAAAACAAGTGGGACATGCCCTGTTTGCCGGTATGCAACATATTTCGTATCTTGTTCATGCAGCTTTGACGTTTTGCTCAGCTACCAGCTCGTACCACAACCCAATCATCACGACCAACCCTCATCTCCCGGTGGCGGCTCATCCAATCAAAACTCTTCACCAACTCCTGGTCCACCGAGCAGCGGCCCGTCCGGCTCAGGCGGTGGCATTCTCAGTTCCATACTAAGTATGGTCAGTGGCACGGGCAATACTGAGAACACTCATAACACCCCCTCCGGAAGCGGCAATCAATCAAACATCGCCACCGACGCATCCTCCGGCAACAACAATAATACTGAGCGAAGGCATTCGGATGAGGCACCACCTGGAGGATGGTGGGACTGACCCATCCATGTGCAGCCCACTCCATCCTGCTGCGATTTCTATCTTAGACTTGCACTCGCATTGTTGTCTCGTATCGGGTACTGTACTATCTGAAGTACCCTGCGCCGCCTGCATTCATTCGATGTGGCAATGCCACGTGTTCTCCTAATATACTTGACCCTTGCGCGCACCTAGGTGTCATCCATCACCTAGCATCTGATCGGTCGGTCCTATTATTTGTTCGGCCGATTGGCCGTCTAGGATTGCCCTCCCCAGCTATTTACCTTTGCCTTGTCCCTCGCTAGGGGTAGGGTTCGGTGATGGCGAGGGCGGGAGCGGGCGGAGGCAAAGGGCGCTGATGGAGGATGCATGTGCCTTCCGCTTTTGGTCAAAGGCGCGACGCGGCACTGTCGGCGCGACTTCCCGAGTGCGCCCGCCGCGGCGCGTGTCGCCACCCACGACGAGCTCGACGTCTCCTCGTAGCTCCTCACACACCCAGCCGATTTCTACCGAAGCGCTATGCCCGATGACTCTGGGGGAGGGGCTACTGCACTACTCATAAGACTGGCCTCGAGGGGGTCCGAGCCTTGCCTCTTACTGACGACTCGGACCTTACTGTCTCCTCCACTGACCTCTACCTCTTAGTCAGAGTCACGGCAGGTCATCTGGAGCAAGTACTGAGTGTCAATGCATACTTGGTTAGCGCCCCCGCCTTCTTTTACGGGTCAATTCTCTTCAGGGAGCTGAGATGTAACATACAAGTGAATCTTCGCTGTGATACTGACAATACTGCAGCTGTATCCGTGACTTCGCCACGGGAAAAACCAATTACGAGAGTCTAGTCATCTACAAGGTGCATCTCCCGAAGGAGCTATGCTCTAACAGGGGAGGATAGTGGCGCCTCACGGTTAACACACTCTGGCGAATATGAGGATTCGCGACCGGGTTTCATAGCTTCGTTAAAGCGAGCGCTACATATCTCAGGCGGTGAAAAGCTCGGAGCGATGCTTAAAGTGTATTCAGGCTACTCGAATCACGGGCGCCCTGGGTGGCAGGTAGTGTAACATGTCGATCTCTGCCCCGATCTGGCTCGCGCAAAATGTGCTCCCGGTGATGCATCGCGAGCACATTTTAAGTCAGGAAAATTTGAGGCATACACAGCAGTACTACTCTATGTGTGTACAACTTATTTCATGTGGTTATGCGGCATGGTTGTGGCGGGGGGCAGAAGTCAACGCGAAAACGTCGTCGCGGCCATGCAAGTTAATGGTCTTGTCGGCCTCTGGCGGCGTATCGAGCCATCTGAAAAGATTGGCAGGGCGAATAGTCACAGATTTCTCATAGAGTCTTCGGGGAAAGAAAAGCAAGGATATGAGATTTATCTCAAGATTCTGAGACAGCCCATCGTAAAGCTATTGAGTGTACGAATTGTGACGCTCTCTTTGGCCGTGTCCCGAAGCGCGGGCTCGGTGATTGCCGCTAGCCTGATCCGAAACACCGCCGCTCACTGCCTGGCGTTCTCGCCTTGTCCTTGCCGATGGTCCCTCTCTGGCCGGCCCAGAGATGATGTTTAATGTCATATACTATAGCTATTGCTCCTTTTTGAGTACTGCGAAGGCCGAAAGGGGAAACACCCTACGTTCGGGCTCGATCCGAGTGCGCCGACGGCTTACGTCACGTCCGCCTGCTTATCGCGCCTCGAGGCTCACACTCGTAGACACGCACCTCGAAGCAGTGCCTACCTAGATGGCTTCGCTCAGTCACTCATGCTCGACCCCATCTAGCTGTCTAAGATCTTTCATAGAGGTCAATGACAGGTGCCCATGCCCCGTTACTTCCGAATAATTACAGGTGATCACTGAGTAAACCTATTATATATTTTATCATATATTATAGCACATGCACCGTCCACTGCGGGGAAGCAAGGCTGGGTGAGACGACCAAGGTGATCCTTCGCCAGGCTCACTGGCGGTTGACTGAGCGCTCAGCGCAGTCTATCGACATACGTCGGCGCAGCGGGGATGAACTCTCAACACACCCGTGTCGGAGTGGGGGAGTGCCTTCTGCGCAGCCAAAGGAGCACGGTGTTCGAATCTCGCGTTCGCCAGCGTGGGCGCTCCCATTTCACTTTCGCCTGGGCGGTGTTTTTATTTTTCGTTGAATCTTTTATCAAAGAAGATTGTAGATTAACCGTATATACATATTTCGGTACTATTGCCCTCGACAGATATTCTATAATCGCCCACTCAGTAGTTTCATCGTGTCTCAGAATTGTACGCTGGGAAAGTCGCTCAGAGGGAGTGTACAGGAATCCTCAATCCCCGTACCGGAGCGGCAATTCGGTGCGGTGCGGCGGTGCAAAACATTCGTGTCTCGCGGCGAGCAAGAGAGATCGGGTTGATCGCGAACAAGTGGGCGGGCGCGCCGGAGCTGGCTGTTTTCCCCGCACATTTGCCATCGAAGCTCCCAAGCTGCTGCGAAGGGGATGAGCTGGGTGTCCTTCTTCGAATCCAGGCGGGAGAACGCATCGCCGCACCCCGCGTCGTGCGGGCTGGCGTAGTGCGGGGATTGCATAGAATCTGGCACTCGGAGAGTTCGCGGCAAGAAAGGCTCCGTGCGCGATTCGTCAACAAACCTCACCCCCCATACTGGATTGGCATCGCAGATGCCCTAATAGCAAGGTGGCAATGCCAGAAGGGGGTTAGCAAGGGCGCGAAGCTGCCTCTATTTCCGTTCTGGGTCAGTAGACGGGACGCTCAGACCGTACGCAAGCATACCAAGGTGCTCGACAGGCAGGAAGACGTGAATCTCCATATTGGGCGGTCCCAGCGTAGGTCTGAAGGTCCGCAAGGTAGAGAGGGTTGAGTCAGAAGGCATGGGTGTGGCAAATGTCGTCCGTGGTCGCGGGTTGAGCAAAGCTAGCATAATGTCGCAAGCAACAAAGTCAGTCGTCACAGTAAACGAACCATCTGTCACGGTAATTAACTACAGTGTCACGAAATACAAGTTCAGGGACGCTTGCATGACGAGACGTAAACGCCGGCGGCGCTATGACGTCAAATACCGCTTCTTTGGCGGGCAGAAGGGCGCGGCAAGACGACATCGTGCAACAGGCCCCGACGGCGCTTCGCTGAGCAGAAGGCTAAGCGGGCTTCACACCACCACCGGCGGCGCTTTGGCTTGGTGTGCAGAAAAGCATCGCAAGGCGATCTCACGCAACTGGCGCCGACGGCGCATCGCTGAAGCTGGGGGACTGAGATTGCCCTTCAAGATACGATTGCAACTTAAAGAATACGAGGCCTACAACGCCGAAACATGCGACTAATCCCTAGAATAATCAACTTCATCCCGCCGCTTGCGACGTCTCTTATGCCTCCTGTCGCCGGCCGGAGGGCGCGTTGGAGATGCAGAATCGGATCGCCTCCGTACGTGTCCTGGGCGAGAGATCCCAGGTCCGGGAGTGGGCGTCCGCTCAGCGAGCGCAGGCGGAGGAGCGATGGCGCGCTCTTGGATGCGGGACGGTCCGGCCACAGGCATGACAGTGCCGCTTGAACCGGAGCGAGTTCCGACGGCGTTAGTAGATTTGGAAGAGCCGCCCGCAGAATCCGCCTCACCGGGCAAGGGCATCGCAGGCTTCTCGAGCAAGCTTGCGGTGGTACCACTGAAGTCGACGGGGATCATATCGGCGACCAAGGTGCGCCGCCGCTTGCTTCCTTTTGATTTGGAATGCGGCTTCGCGCCGGGAGAGCGGTCGACAGAAGGGGTTTCCGCTCCGGAGTCGGTATCCCCGTCAAGCCCGACGGTGATGTTTGGGGGCGGCGCGGCGGCGCGGTCGAGCAGCGTTTGGGGCAAAGTCAAATCCGCGCCCTGCACAGCGGCGGCTGCGCGTAAGAGAGGATTGGTTGCCATCCGAGCAAGAATGAACTGGAGACGATCAAGCTCGAGAATTTCGCTCTCGGTGCCCTCCAGAAGAGTACGCCATGTGAGCAAATTAGCAGCCTCTTGCTGCAGCGTAACGCCTAACTGAATTCCGACAGCCGCATGCAGGTCCTCCATGTACTCTGAGTAGGGCGGCGCCGCTACAGAAGAGTCTCGGATATGTAGCAGCCATTGGTTAAAATGCTCTAAAGAAGATATTAACGTGCGGCTGGGGTTCGCAGCAAAGCCGACGCACGGGAGTTGTGCAACCCAGCGCGGGAGAACGCCGGCGGGATGGCGACGTTGACTCTGAGCGGCAGCGAAGCGGTGCTGTGATTCATGACGTACGGTTGGCGGGGAGGAAAGGCGGGCATCTGCGGGGCCGGACCAGAGGTTGCCGGCGGTGTCAGGCGACGTGTCGGAGCAGCTGGGGCGATGACGTCAAGCCGCGAAGCGCAGAAAGCTACGAAGGACACACCGGGAGACGCCGTAGCATAATCCTCGTCCGAGCTGCTTTCGTCGTCCTCATCCCCGCGCGCAGGCTCGACAGGAGGGAATAAAGGGTCATCGTCGCTGTTGCTGTCCCCCGGAATATCCGCTCCCTCCGAGTCTGAATCCTCTTCTCCGCCGTCAGTCATAAAGTCGTCGCTACTCGAAAGCTCGATGGCGTCTTCTGGACAGTTCCCTGCCATTGCGCGACCCAGCCGAAGTAGGAAACGGCGACGGGAGAGGAAAGAAGAAGGTGGTTGAAGTGTAAGAAGCGCGCTAACCACGCGCCCCAATCTGCCTGGGTTCGACTTCGGTAATTTGCGACGCTGACCCGGCGACGCGGCGTCATAAGCGCCAGTTTCGGGCGCCAGATTTTGAAATACATCGCAGGTGCATCAGCCAGGGGCGCTAGATGGCCGGGCGCTGCTTTATGGGAACCCCATCAAACTCTGTGTCAAACCGGCGCCTATAACTAAGGCGCGCGTCGAGAACGTAACTTCGCCTCTCTCTCCCGCGTCGGCGTGCGCTGGTCTCTTCTCGCCATGCCTCCTCGCGCTCCCTCCCCTGCTGCCCAAGAAGCGACTGGCAGGCTACGCGCTGAGGCGCGTGCACGCCAGCGGGCTGGCGCTGGACCGCTTACAGATATCGTTGACCCCAAGGCTCTTAAGACGGAGCTCGCTCGATTCTACGTTCAACAACAGGGCCAACAAGAGGCTCCACCGGGTCGCATAGCTCTCAATCGTGCCAAGCGCTCGCTGGAAACCATATCGGCGCTTGCGAAAGGGTCGGACCGAATCTCCAAGTCCATCACGCGCACTCTGTGGGCGCTGTTGCTCGTTGAGATGGTAAGCAGGCGCATTGACTGCGCTCAATCGCTGCTATTGCACAGACCACTTACCGATTGTAGAAATTTGCCAGGAAGCACAATGCCGCCGCATCCGTGCAGCCGATGCAACGTTTTCTTGAGTCTGCTACGAGCGAAGCGCGGCGAGATAATAGCTGGGACATTGGGAAGGTTCGCAGCTTGTTGGCGAGAGGTTGGCCGGAGGATCAGAGCGTTAGCAAGCTGAAGACAAGCGAGCTTGGTCCCTTGCATTGGTGGCTCGCGGCCCGTACGTAGTAAACCCTCTCGGTTCGCAACAATCGCTGACCCCATGCGACGTTAAGGCGAGCTCAAAGACAAGGAGCCCGTGCGCCGCCAGACCATCTACGACGCGGCGTACCGCCAAATCGCCGCTCACACCCATTCCGCTTCGACGCCATCGCGCTCCTCAGGCAGCCGCCCTCCGCGCGAAGCTGCCGGCGCCACAAACGCTGCTCTTCGAGGCGCGATCATCCTCGACGACGACGGCGGCGGCAACTATGCTCCCGATCGCCCTGGCTCTCCTGATAACCCTGGCGATCCAGGATCGCCGAATGAAGGCAGGGAGGCTACACCTTGGCGATTCGGGGCCAATGCGCCAGCGCAGTTCACCGTGGGCGCGCCGACTACGGTACCCCCTATACCCCCACCCGCTCCGCCTCCTCCTGGCGCGTCGAGGCGCGCTGCCCCATCTCCTTGGCTCCCGCCCAGCGGTTTTACCTGCGATCTCAAATGGAACATCGCCGACTACAACGCGCATAAGGCTCTACTGTTGAACTGGCCTCGGGGCCTGCAAGCACCAGACAGCGCGGTCTGGGAGCATCCTCATATGCACGGCTTGAAAGTCCTCGCCGATGGGCTTCCTCTAACAAACAAGGTGCGCCTCCTTACCGCTTGGGAAGTGCTGCAATTCTCATATCACCTCGGAACAGAAACCCTGTCTTAACTGCAGCAAGCGATTCTACATCTGCATACCGCGCGGATCGAAAGCGTGTCTGCCATGCTACTGGGAGAAGGGTAGTCAGGGCAAGTGCGAAGGCTACGTCCCACCCGACGGCCCCGTGGAAAAACCGGATTACAAACTTCGCAAGAAGTTCCTGCAGGAGCTCGACGAGGCCGGCGTGTATCCTTTCCCGCACCATTATGTATATGAGGATGGTAAGTTGAATACCTACTTGATACGGAAAGATTAAGCGCTGACCTTTCGTTGCAGGCAAGGCTCACCATGGCGCGGGGTCAGGCGGCATCGGAAAGCCGCCTGGATATCCCTCTCCCGCACCGAAGTATAGTCCTCGCCGGGGCGGGGAAACAAGTGAGGCTCCCGCTGACGCTTCCTCGACTGCTGCCGGTGCGGGCGCGTCGGATTCTGTCGCCGCCGGCGCTTCAGCGACTTCTCCCACTGGCGGCGCTTCTTCGACTTCTGCCCCGCAGCCGTCCAATGCGAACCGCGCTCCTGCGGCAAATGACACCGCGGTTCTGGCGGACGCGCCAATGGACGTCGATACAGACATCTCCGCTCCGCCGCCTACAGACCCCGCTCCTCGAACGAGCCGCCCCTCGGGCGTCGACGTCTCAGCGGCTGAGGCGCGCGCTGGAGCCTCCATGGCCGCGTCCTTCAGCCAGCCTCGAGCGCCTGCGCAGTCCATGGCCAGCGTCGCAGAGATCCCCGCCGGCTCTCCTGAGGGGCACAACCACGAGGACGCGACGATGGTCGACGTCAGCAACGTGCCCACTGGCGCGCGAAAACGCCGAAGGCAATCCCCTGCGGGGGAAAATATGCAACCCGCCACGCCGGACGGTCCCGTAGCGGATGCTGTCGCGCCGCACCGCAAGCGCCAGCGTCGTGAAGGCGCATCTGAAGCTGGCAAGCCCCCTGCTAGCGGAAGAAGACAAGCGCACGCGGACAACGCTCCTCCCGCGTCTGCCTCGACGCCCTCCCCCGACGACCGCCATGGCGCAGCGGAGGCTTCGGCGCGCTCGTCGTCTCGCTCGCAGTCCTCTACTGCACCTCCGTCGGAGCTGTCACCATCGGCCGCATCGCCTTCGCGCTCATCCACCGCCACACCGATGGCGACTCCAGCCCCTGGAGCAACCGCCAGGCACGAAGGCGTTGCGCCCGCGGCCGCCGTCATCGATAAGGGTAAAGGCAGGGCGCGTGCCCGCCCCAGGCCAACTGGTGAACAGCAGCGTCAAAGCGCAGCTGCAGCGAACCGCGGGATCGAGTTTCACAGCCCTGTACCTGGCACTCGCCCGGCGAAGCGATACGGTTCCCCTAGGTTTGCCGCTCGGCCTTGGCCCGGTAAGATTCCTGCCAACCACCAGCTATTTTTGCTAAATGTATTTTCAGTGGTCCCCGACGCCGACATGCAAATACAGGGCGACGTCGCTCCCCTGCCGTCAAACGGCGTGAGTCGCATTAACCATCCGCAGGGCGGTCCGCCTCCCATGTCCACTTTGAACCTCTCTGGCGACATCTTCCTCGCCAACCACGTCGAGCGGGCATTATGCCACGAGATGCGCGATGTTAGCAATCACCATCGGGACTGGATCCTCGGAAGGTACGAGCCTGAGCATGTCGCCCCTCGCCATCGCGAGATCATGCAAACCCTGCGCGAGCTGAAAGACACGGTGGTCGCGCAGCGTTCCATGTCGCATACGGGCGACGGGGAAAGGCATAACCAGCTCGCCGACGGGACGACCTTATCGCTTGGCACTCTCTCGGCACCTGCTGGTGTACGGCGTGACGCTCAGCCCATGGGCTCATTCGGCTCGGCCACCACCTCCAGCGCCTTTGCGACTCAACCGCCGTCGGAGCCGTCGTCGGCTCTATCCGAAGCCGGGCTCAAGGCGATACTAGCAAACTCGCTGGCCCCCTTCCACGACATGGCAGGCAATGTTCAGGATCTCACTCGGCGATTCGCAGAGCTTGAACCGATCACCGGTCGCGTCAACGACATGTCCGCGCGCTTTGATAGCATGTCTGACCGAGTCGATGTCTTCGGGACTGATCTGCGGTCGCTGGTTGCGCGCGTGAAGCGCCTCGAGGATGTTGGGCCGCTGGCGCAGAACCTTCGAGCGTTCGCTGAGCAGCAAGATAGGCTGGGCGAGGCGCCCAGCCCAATTCTGGTTCTGCGCGACGGCAGCACGTCGGTCGTCCCGCGGCTTGCCCAAGAGGCGCCTGGCGTCTCGTCATCGTCGAATCCGCCCGCCCAGAGTCAGGTAGACATCCGCCCGCCCGCTCGGCCGGTCTCTTCTGCAGCGGCATCCCGAGCATCCTCTAAGCCGCGTCGCTCGGCAAGCCAGCTTCCTCCGCCGCACGGAGTCAGCGCGGATCCTCTTCCTGCCGCCGTCGCTCCGATTGAAGTCGCCGCCGCCGTTGATCAAGGTATTGCTCTCCAGGCGACGGCAGACGAGGCGACGGCAGACGAGGCGATGGCAGACAAGACGCCCAGCCCTGCAAATGGCGCAGAGCGGCCCCCTGAGATGCCGACGCCGCTACCGCCGTCCCTCTCCGTTGCTGTTGACCCAGCGGCGGTCCAACGGCCTAGGACGCCAGAATCTGAATCGCCGCTTACCACGAACCCGTCCCCCGGCAATTTGTCCGTCGCGCCGTCTCATCAAGATGCAGGCGCCGGCTCCTCTAGAGCGCAGAGCATAGCACCGCACCCCAGTCGCGACGGCACGCTCGTGGGGGAGGAAGGGCACTCGAGCGATGACGACGACGTTCCAATGGAAACTGGGGACGATTGGGCGGCGGGCTCGCGTCAGCGTCAGGCGGGCGACCAGGGAATACCTGATTCTCGACCGGAGCCCAACAAGCAGGCTGGCAATATCATCTCGGAGGACGAGGATGCCGACGGCAGCTCCGTCGACGACGAATCTGCCCCTGCCCCCGCAATGGCATCCCCTCAGAAGGGCCGCGGCGGTCGAGGTCGCGGGGCCGGCGCGCCAGCGAAGGTCCCACAACCGAGCGACGCCGCAGGTGGTCGTCGTCTCCGCGCGCGCCAAGGTCGATCTGCCTGACTGTCTTGCCACTGTCGCTTCGCCCGTCTTCGCCCGTCTTCATCCTTCGACGCCTATAGTTCGTGTTTGTTTGTGTTTTCTCTGGATTGCTGGTCTCGCGAAGTCTTCCATACCTACGTCACTATCTCTTTCATCTTAATCTGTCGAATCCGTCGCACGCATCCCCTTGCTAATGAGTCTCACGAAATGCTACCTTGCTGCCTATTATGGGCTTTATCTCGCTTTTGACGATACGGGCGCGCGGCGTCCAGCATGATATTCTAATTTTGAGACAGCAAGCTCTGGGGTTGAATGGGAATACGTGGCCTGCGCGAGGCAGAAAGAATTGCCAGGTCGATAAGATAACATTATAAGATGCTATCCTCATTCAAGCGACTCTGTGTCCAAACCAATAGCAGGACTGAGAAAGGCTACGCCGACCATTGCCTCCACTGCAGCCACTGTACGAGAACAAATCTCCCCGAGCGGAATCTGTAGGGATTGTGCGATTTCGGGATAATAGCAACAATATAAAGCAACCAGGCGGCGTTCTTGATCAGCAATACGGGAGGACAGCGCCTCCCTAGCTTCGAGGGTGCGGTCGCGCACGACGTCCCCCTCCGCCAATAAGCTTTGCGCAAGGTGCACGAGGCTAGGCGTCACAACAGGCGGCGATTCCTCCGCATCGGGGTCGTCACATTCCCTCGAACTCTAGACAGCGATTAATATCAAGCCCGGGTCGCGCGTGTCTTACTCATTAATGTGCCCAGGTAAAGCTGCGCCGCTTCATCGGCGCGAGATATTGATCCGTCGAGAATCTGTGTGCTGGCAGCTTCTTTCCACCATTCACCAGAGGTGTTCAACCTCTCCCCACAGCGGGAGATCCATTCTTGACATTCGAGGCGCAAACCCCCATCGTCGACATTGACGTCGGCTCCATTAGAGCCCATGAGACGTTTGTCGGCCCGCGAATCCTTGACAAGCAGATTCAACGCATCTCCTTCCGACCTGCTTGCCTCATGCTGAATAGTCCTGTGCCAATCCGATATCTGCGGTGGCCGCCCTCGCACCGCCATATGGCCGCTGATCCCATTGCACAATGCCTTCACCGCTCATCAACGGATAACACGACTATCGTAAGGGGCCTCGCGCTCACCACTTCGAAAGCGAGACCCTTACTCAGTAAATCCAACGGGAAGTCCGCCTCCGCCAAAGCCCCGTCTACTCGGGCCCCAAGAGCGTTCACGAGCGAGTTGTGGCGTGCGACGTATAAATCAGACTCCTGGCTTTCAATAGTTTCTGCCAGGGGAACGTCTCTCTCCGTGCGGGGATCAATGAAGGGTATCTGGAGCGGCGGGTCAGGCATCACGGTGGTATGGGACGAAAGCCCAATGGCCGACCTGGCCATAGGTCATGGGCCCATCACTGGATGGCATCAGGATCACCTGATACTTAGACACATAGCTGACGTTCAAGCCGAGTTAAGTGTAAGCGGAAGTAAATAACATGCATCCATTTCAAGCGGTACGCAAGCCCGAGACGCGACTCGATCTATCTGCAATCCACGTCTTCATCATCTCTGTCCCACCATAAATCTCGCCCCGCTCAAGGAAATACTTGTCGACTTTGTTGATCTCCGGGGCTGCTGCTGGCGCCCCTTTGTAAAGATGACGGTACGCGGCGAGAAGGCGATCCTCCGACTGGGCGACCCCAAACTGCAGGACCCGCCTCCGCGACTCCAACGCTTGGCGAAGCTGCTTCATCTGAGCGTCCAGATGCTCTACAGTATTCACGAGATCGGGCGCCAAAATAAACTCGTCTCCGTCGCGCCCGTGCGTTTTGATCGGCGGCGCGTAAGCGAAGCGCTGAAGACATCTCATCAGCCCAGACTCGAGCCTCCAGGAAAAGGTTGAACGTGAAATTACCTCGGTGGTGATCATGAGATTCACCGCGATAGCTGCCTGGGCGGCTTCCCCCTCGAGCGACACGCTTTCGCCACTTTCCCACCAAGCATCAAGATCAACTGTCAAGCCGATACTGCGCACGAAGGCCGTGATGTCAGAGATTGTGCGAGGCGCAGACCGCGACTCGGGAATTCCCCATCTTCCGTGTGGGCCCTCAATTTCCCGATGCTCTGCTTCCAAGATATCGTAACCGCCGTCGGCGCTGTTGAAAGAGGCGTCTTGTAACGCGGCCCCGACAGAGCGGTGAATATTAATGGGCGGAACGCCTCGGATCGCCAACGCTCCGCTGATGGCGGCTTGGATGCCCTATCGTTCGTCAATTTATGTCAGTTGTTCAGACCCAGAGCAGCTCGATCATTCTTTACCGCCTCGAATCGCAAGCCGTCGGCAAGCTTCGTGTGATCGCCAGTCCAAGGGCGTGTGTCAAAGATCCGGGGGCCAAGCTGCTCCATAATCCCGTTCGTTCGCAATCTCGTCGCAGCCTCCTCCGCCAGCGCCAGATTCTTCGATTCCATGGTGGCGGATCAAGGGGAATGAGTGCTCGACACGAGACTGCAGCAGCGCCCTATATAGGCGCACGGGCAACGAGGTCAAAACTTTGTGATGCTGCATCCCACGTGTTTCGTGCGCTGATATATAGGTGCGCTTGCCCGCGTACGTCGGCTCTCCCTCTCGCCTGCAGCAGCCGATCTGACCATGGCGGACGACAGCTACCCATTGACAGATTTCTGGTTTTCAATGGAACGTCGCGCGGCCGATATTTGCACCTATTTTCCCGGGTTGCCCCGTGTTACCTTCATCATTAGGGGTCTGACCTCTGAGTTGGTGCACTGCGCCTTTATGGTATAGCGGCGGGAGTGTTGTTGACCACCGCTAGTCCGTCGCTCGAGCTGCTGTCGGTAGTGAGCGACTCCGGACGGGGAAATTGCCGCCGCATTCCGAGTTTTTGTGGCAGCTCCAAAACGCCCTCAACAACAACAGCAAAGGCGAATGGGAGCTGCTTCCCCGGTACGCTCTACTGGTCCTCACCGGCAACTACGGGCCGGAGCGGCGCGATAAGACGGGATTCCCCCGGTGGTGGCTAGATCACCCCAAGATGCTCCCTTTTAACTACCGGCCCCAAACCTTCGACCTAGCGCGCTGGCTAATCTCCGACGTGGTGAAGATGGTCAACGCTGAGATAACGGACAAGGTGCAGAGTCTGCAGATCGGGAGCAAGATGAGGAGCTGATGATCTTGGTTAGCAGGTAGATGTGAAGGCTTTTGCCAATGATCTGAGGGCGGTCGCAGAAGGTTACGGGCGCTTGCAAGCCGCATCCCTAGAGCGCGCAAGGGCAATTGGCGCGGGGCACGAATACAGCCAACACTTGTTTGAGACCCTACACTCCTCTCGACAAGACGCGGCGACGTTTGCACAGAGGAGGTACGAGCATGCCAACCGGCTTCCGCCTGGGCCCGTCCCTCTGCAAGCCGAGGTGCCCGAGTACTCCGAATCGTGATATGCACTTGCTATTGTACATACAAATGCTGAGTTAAGATAGAAAGGCCGCTTCCAGATCATGGAAGCCGCTTGCGATTTCGGGCACTTCGTCTGAGCGCCCCGGCTTCGCTATTCTCCCGCGCGACTGCTTCATCCTCCGCAAGGCTCTGAGCATAGCCTCCAGAGAGCGCCGGGGTGGATGAAACCTCAACAGGACGCCCGTTCGGCGATGCGCGAGCGAGATCCACGGGGCGCCTGGGTTCGACGAAGGCTAAGCGCCGCGCAAGGGCGGGGTGAGTTGATGCCGCGGATCCTATCGCGTCGCTGTCCATATCCATGCCGCTGCTGCTAGCACCCTCGGCCTCGAACGTCACCGGCATGATGAGGCGATCGAATCGTGAGCGACACGGGATGCTGATTCGGGCGGGCATTTGCTCGCTGTCTTCGCCCGTATCTTCGGCATCGTCGGCGATCGTGCTGTCTCGCCCCTCATTCTGAGACAACTCCGCGGCACTGTCGGACGAAGTGGACGGAGGCTCCGGCGTCTTAACCTTCCGCTTCTTACGGCCGCGACGAGATTTCAGCGCTCCCCGCCCGCCATGCTGCGCGACGTCGGGCCGCGGAGGAATGCGTCTAGGCTTTGTCTTTGGGGCCTTCGAGGCAATGCGAGCTTCCGACGCCCTCGGCTTCCGGACGATCAAGGTCTTGCGCCTTTTGGCCGGAGGCTCATCGTTATCGGACGATGAAGGCGAAGGGTCCTCGGGCGGCATGGGTTGCCAGGCACCTGCGGTGACTTTGGCGGCTGGCGCCCGAGATGCTTTCTTCACCGCGGCGACGTCCCCAATTACCCTGCCGGCCTTGAGAGAACGATTCGCCCGCTTCCTGTCTTCCAACGCCGCTAAACCTTGAAGAGCCTTCCGAGTCAGCTCCTGCACAGCTGTTCTCGGCTCCTCATCGATCGCCTGTCGATACTCCGCCACGGTGTGAGGAAGACGAACATCTTCTAAGTCCACGGCAAGAAACGTCGCATCCACATCCGCGGGCATGAAGTCGCTCGCAGGCTGTCTCCTGGCGAGGCGGTCAGACGCATCGCTCCGCGCATCCCCGCCGGCGAAATCAACGTCGTCGAGAGAGCTGGCCTCAGCGGCCATCTCGCCTAGAAGGTCGATATCGCCGCGGGCTGGCAGGGCGGCCTCTAAACGAATAGCGGCCTCGTTCGCCCATTCCGAGAGGGCGTTCTTCAGCTGCCGGGTATGCGGGCGTAGCGCAGAATGTTCCAAAGCAGCGGCTCCCGCGTAGGTCCAATTTGCGTCATCCATATTTTCGAGGTCGACGAATAGCAAGGCCGCCTTTAGAAACACCGCCAGTCCCGTCTCGCGCGACCGCGCGCGCCCAGCTTCGCAGTCCACAAGAAGATCGGGGCGCCGTAGCCATTCGAGCAGGGTCTGAGCCAGATCAGGCAGAGCATGCGACGAAGGGGGGAGCCCGCAGCGCTGCCACTGCCAAGATGGAACACCGTAGCGCTCTGTGATCCAGGATGGCGCACTCTTTGCCGAGGCATGGTGGACGACGGTGAATGGAGGATCAATATCGCCAGGCGCCTGGTGATGTTTAGTGGTGCGAAAACTGAAGAGGATGAAAGTTAGACCTGCCATTCTTGCTACCAGGCGTAACAGAGGTAAGAGGACATCTTGCTCTTCGTTTCGTACAAGATAGGCTAGATAATGTGTTCTCGAATTCGCCAGGGCATATCTGCTGCAGGGCGCCCATCCTGGATATTCATACTGGTCGGCGTATTGCGATAAGTCCTTCAGGAAATCGTCGAAGACCGCGACGAAAGTAGCGGAGCCCACGGAGAATCTTCCGACGCCAAGGTCGCCGACCGCTGTCCCGCCGGCAGAAGAGTAGCCTCGTAGGTAACAAACCCAGCCCAGTACAAATATCCAGGCAAGTTCGGTTCCAGCATATGCTTCGACGCCGGCCTGAGTCACCCTCCACGGTGATCCCTGCAGGAATGAGAGCCATGCGTCCATGTCAGCTGAAGCGGGCGGCTGTGCAGAGCGCATCGTCCATCGCAAGTCGTCGGGCAAACCCACGCGCTTTCGGACGGCTTTGAGGGGGTATGAGCAGTTAGGAACCATCTGCTGCATTCTAGCGTTCTGCTGCAACTCGGAGGATTTCTGAGTCGCTTACCGGTAGCTCAACCAACTGCCGTATAGCAGATCTCAAGGACCGTGTGGCGCGCGGGGACAAGCCGGAACAGTTGCTCTGCAGCTGAGAAATGCTCCACTGGCCGCGGGCCTCGCTGTTTTCCGGGACGAGATAAGGCGCATGGTCGTCCTCTGTCGAATGTGTACTGATATGCTCCGCTGAAGGGTCAATTGGCAACAAGTCCTCAGGATCGGGAACCGAAGGTATGTCCAGCATCTCCAGCGCCTCCTGTTCGCTAGCGGCGTCACCGTGCACAATGCGACCGCCTTGGCTTCCGTATGGGGACACTACCATTCTCGGGCCTTCCTTGCCTACCGAATGAGGCGCTTTGGGCACGTATTGGATTGCCGCAAGCGCAGCAGGCGGTAAGATCTCCTCCGAGCGCATGTAGCTAGGAAGTGAGCTGGCCCACCATCTTTCTCCCAGAGGCACGGGGTCCATGGGCAGTCCATTCTTCCGCTGCCACTGTTTGAACCTGAGACCCTTTGTCACCGTGAACCAGTGTTTGAGGTATTTGAAGCAGTTAGGTTGGCGAAGGGCAGTTGGAATGCTCATAGGAATATCTGGCAGTAGGTACTTGCTGTCCACCAGCTGTTGGAACGATGCCCAAGGAGGATCAAGGTCTCGGTAGCTGGATATATTGCCTGTGAACACGGGTGAGGGTGTTTGGGGATTGCAATGCGCGCAGCGACATACTGTGCGCCATCCTAACAATGCTGTAGACCATCGAAATCGCCTCTTTGAAGAACAACTCTTCGTCGTATTCGCCTTCGTCGAGAATAAGCTCGTCTCGCCCAACGAAACTAGCTTCATCCACCGTCCAGGTTGTTTTACGCTTCAGTCTCGACTTCTTGTTTAGTATTGCAGGCAAGGCGGCCCCCTCGATGCGTCCTTACTTTTTGTCAGCTTATCATGGCCACGGTGTTCACAGGAGTGGGGGAATAACGCACCAGCCGCATGATTAACCTCTCGATATATATCTGATAGCGTGTCTCCCACAGGGACAGTCTTAACGAGAGGTTTATCAAGGATTCGCAATTCGTACATGAACTCGTGCCTGCGCAGATCTTCAGGGGCGAGATAGCGAGAACTATGCAACCTCACTCACAAACGCGGAGGATTAGTAAGGCCAGGCTCGGGTATCGCCATCGTCACCAGGTGTTGTCCAAATTCGCGCAGAGCTGTAAGGTGCACGTTTCGAATCCACGTCTGAAACCGGCGGTAGTATGCCCTGCAGAGCATGCCTCTATGTTACTTAAAGCGCCGTAGAAGTGGTATTCGGCTTACTCCATCTTTTGCTCAGCGGGCGCGGCGCCGGACTGCCAGTCTTTTGCCATCTCTATCAACTGGAGCCTCTCGCCCGGCGGCAGCTTCCAATAAAACGCCGTACGACATCTCATCCGGTGACCAATATACCCCCTAGGATCGCCGGGTCGCATACCCGTGCCCAGATAAACCATCTCATCTATGGAATCGCGGTATACTATGCCGCACACCCGCAAGCCCGTCCATTTTCGCGTACTCAGCTTTTCAGGCAACGCCGGCGGACCTCGAATGCGACCTTGTTCTTTGAAGTATCGTCTTAAGGCCTAGAGAAAAGGTACGCTCAGCCTTACCGCGCGCAATCAATTACGTCCCATGCAACTGACAGACCACTGATTTTTGAATTCGGGGGTCTGTGGCCTACACGTCCAATCGAGCGGGCCGGGCCAAATGCTCTCCATTTTCTCTCGCAGAAAGGTTGGTCGATCCTGAGGAGCGAGTCGAACATAAGCGTCCACATATTCAGCTAGTTTGCTTAGAGTGTCGACGGTAAAAACCACGGAAGGGAGAACAGTATCTGCGATCTCGCCGTACGAGAGGGCCTTGCGAGACATGAGGGAGATGGTGGTCTCAATGCAACCTAGAGACCCCCATACGCAACTGGATGCGCTGTCGTCGTAAGACGTATGCATGCGGCCCCGTCATGATTCGGCCGCTAGCCTTGAGCGCTCCTGAGCTGAGCAACGATCGTGCTGCGATCATGAGGTCAGCATATTTTCGCTCCCATGAATGAAGACTGATATAGATTTGTTTCAGAGTGAAATGGGCTTAAAGACAACCAATACATCCTTGCGGAGCTCAGCGCTTAGCGTTCATCAGTTTCATCGAAAGACAAATAGATGCTCTCGTCTTCCCACCACCACCTAGCTTAGCAGGACCAGCAACTAGACCGGTGAACGCGAGATGTCCGACCCGTCCCAATACCGGCACCGAGTCACGAATCATACTGCAGCGGCCAACTCTTCTTCAAGACGCCTCGCGCGCGCTGCTCCTAAACATTACATTAACAATCCTGGCCCGCGAGAGCAACTGGCCGCAGCAGCCGGGCCGGGTGGGGCCAACCGAGTGCCAAACGCCGCCATTGCATGGGAGCCGGCCTTTCGAGGTCCGAGGGCGCAACAGATATGGGTAGATGCAAAGGCCAAGACGGTGCGATCAACCGCTCACGCAGAGCTCGGCGAGCCGTCCGTTGGTACCCGCGCCGAAAGCGCGCCAGGATCTTCGGGCAATGGCGGACCGCCCAACTTCGCTGGAATGCTTGACGATCTGGATGGCGATACTAGAGTCGACATGCTGGGCGTACCTATCGGGGCCCAGGAAGATCTAGAAGATCCCCAAGAGCGAAGAACGAGCGAAGGCAAGGTTGGAGAATCCTCCGTTTCAAGCTTTCGCGCAGGGCTCACACGAATGAAAGACGCAGGTGGATTACCTGCTGCAGTTCAAAGAAAGGAACTTAGCGCCGAAATATGCAAATCTCATCACAACATTTCGCCATGCGCCGCCGGGGGATCTCAGGTGCTCTCATTGCCAAAGCGTGGGAGTAGGGCGCTGGCGTTGTGGGCATTGCACGGCGAAACGAGACTTCTGCTCTTCCTGCCTACGCCAAACGCATTGGAACAATCCTTATCATGTTGTCAGCTGGTGGACCGGGCAGCATTACCGAAAAGCCTGGCTGCGAGACGCAGGACTGGCGATCCACCTCTGTCCCAATAGCCGCGCGGGGACAAGTTGCCCGCATAACCCCGGGCTTCCCATCAATCTGGAAGAAATGGACGCAAAACCGCCGCCATCTTATGGTAGCTTTTCGTTGGATTTGCCAGACGCCCAACTCCCCCCGGTGAGCTGGTCCTTCGCCGACGAATCCCTCACGACGGCAGTGAGACCAGACGATCGTATTCACCTCCCGCCTGAGTTCAACGACTTGGACGAGGGCGAGACGGAAGACATCGCGCTGACCATCGGCCCCGAAGGAGACGACGATTTCCAACCCATCGGCCCATCGGACACCGAGTACGACGCGAGCCGGGCTGACGGTGATCTTTCAGCTGGCGTGGCGCGTGAGGGCGGCCGATCCTCTATACCGACGAAGGACTGGTATGGATATCGCACTCTTGTTGTGATACATACAGACGGGATTCATGGTATCGGTGTTGGGTTTTGCAAATGCCCAGGCGCGCCTTCGGAGGATCAGCAGCTTATCGAATTCGGCGGTCTCTTCCCTGCTTCCCCCGACAATCCGTGCAGCGCATTCACGCTTCAGTTTCTCGAATACAGGCACGTGGATGACGTGATATGCAAGACCACCCCGCAGTCCCATATGCGAAAGCTGAGGCGATGCACCGAACCAGATGAATTGCGCCTCGCCCCGGTAAGCCCTTCCCTTGACTACCGTCGCAACCGCAGATTCTCAGCAGAGTGCCAGACAGCCGTAGCAGTTGGAGGGTTGCCACTCATGGCCAACTTTGGGGGGGTGGGGTTGCGACTCCCTCCAGCTGGTTGCAACCCACTGCAACCCACTGCAACCCGATATAACTCACCTCAGCGCAAATACGGGCATTGCCGAACGGTCACACCAAATCACATATCAGACAGTTTCCAGAAAAGGTATTAGATTGCAGCCCGAAAATAACATGGATCCATCAAGTGTGACAGCCAGTAAACTAAACTCAATTCCCTTTCAGGTACGCAGATTACGACCCCCCTTGCAAGTGCACCAGTTTCGCCGCCACGTCACCGATGCCGACGGCCGCCCGCCCGCGGTCCGCCGCCGCCCGCC